GGCACTGACTTCTCTTTAGCTATGAAAGTCCCAAATGGCATCTTCCAAGATAAATCTGTTTTACCTACATTAAAAATCTCTTGGGGGCACCTGGGTGGCTCATTCAGTTAAGCAGCCAACTCTTGATTTCAGCCCAGGTCATGATCTCATGGTTCGCGAGTTTGAGCTCTGCATCAGGCTCCAAGCACGGACAGTGTGGAGCCTGCTTGGGATTCTCTCTCTTCCTTTCTCTCTGTCCCTCCCCCCTCAAAATAAATAAATAAGCTTTTTTTTTTTTTTTTTTAATGTGTTGTTAATGTAGCCACCTTCATTAGTTATCTGAGCTAGACCTTCTGGATAACTTGCTGCAGCTTCTATATCAGCACTTGCTGCTTTGCCTTGCATGTTTATATTATGGAGATCTCTGCTTTGTTTAAACCTCATGACCCAACCAACCTCTGCTGTCTTCAAACTTTTCTTCTGCAGCTTCTTCATCTCTATTAGCCTTCATAAAATTTAAGAGAGTTAGGACCTTGCTCTGGATTAGACTTTGGCTTAAGGGAATGTTGTGGCCGGTTTGATCTGTCCAGACCACTAAAACTTTCTCCATATCTGTAATAAGACTGTTTCCATTTCTTACCGTTGGTGTGTTCACTGGAATAGTACTTCTACTTTCAGTCAAGAATTTTTTCTTTGTATTCACAACTTGGCTAACTGACACAAGAGGCCTGGCTTTCAGCTTCTCTTGGCTTTTTTTTTTTTTTTTTTTTTTTTTTTTTTTTTTTTTTTTTTTTTTTTTTTTTTTTTTCTGAGAGAAAGTGCGTGAGCAGAGGAGGGTCAGAGAGAGAGGGAGATACAGAATCTGAGCAGGCTCCAGGCTCTGAGCTAGCTGTCAGCACAGAGCCCGACGCAGGGCTCAAACACACGAACCATGAGATCATGACCTGAGCCAAAGTTGGAGGCTTAACCGACTGAGCCACCCAGGCACCCCAGCTTCTCTTAGCTTTTGACATGTCTTCCTCACCAAGCTTTTTAAAGTGTGAGACGTGCACCTCTTTCTTTCACTTGACTGCATAGGGGTTATTATATGGTTATTAGTTGGTCTAATTTCAATGTTGTTGTGTCTCGTGGAATAGGGAGGCCCAAAGAAAGGGAAAGAGAAGGGGAAATGGCTAGTTAGTGGGGCAGTCATCACACAATAGTTATCAGTTAAGTTCACCATCTTACATGGACAGTTTGTGTTGCCCCAAAACAATTACAATAGTAACAATCAAAAATCACTGATCACCATTACAAATATAATAATGGAAAAGTTTAAAATCTTGAGATAATTACCAGAATGTGACACAGAGACACAAAGTAAGCAAATGCTTTTGAAAAAAATGGCACCGATAAGCTTTCTCAACATGGGGTTTGCCCCAGACCTTCCATTTGTAAAAAAAAAAACTCAGTATCTACGAAGTGCAGTAAAACAAGGTGCGATAAGATATGCCTGTAGTCCCACTTAATTTATTTTTGCTTTTGCTCTTGGTGTCAAATCTAGAAAGTCATTGCTAAAACTGATATCAGGAAACTTACCACCTATGTTTTACTCTAAAAGTTTTATGGTTTCAGGTGTTACATTCAAGTCTTTTAATCTATTTTGAATTAGTTTTTGTATATGGTGTAAGACAGTGGTCCAGTTTGATTCTTTTGCACGTGGCTGTCCAGTTTTCCCAACACCATTTATTGAAGAGACTGCTTTTCCCTTGGATATTCTTGCCTCCTTTGTTCTAAAGTAATTGACCATTGGTTTATTTCTGGGCTCTCTTCTGTTCCACTGATCTATGTACCTTTATGCCAGTACCATAGTTTTAATTACTATAGCTTTGTAAATTAATTTTAAGTCAGGGAGTCATGATTCCTCCAGCTTTGTTTGTGCTCAAGATTGCTTTGGCTCTTTGGGGTTTCTTGTGGTTCCATACAGATTTTAGGATTGTTCTATTTCTGTGAAAAATGCCATTGGAATTTTTACAGGGATTGCCACAATAACTGATTTTTAAAGCTTTTGCTATGTGCCATGTATTGTTCTCACAGGATTGCTTGGTAACTTGATACCGTTATCTTTATTTTGCTGATGGGGACAATGGGGTTTAGGAAAGATAAGTAACTTGCCTAAGCTTAGACACAGTGGCTTTAGGATTTGAGCCTAAACTTGCCTACCCCATCCCTTTAACCTCACTTATCTCCAGCTCCCTCCAAATAGGAATGATGCACCTATTGTAACTGGTGCTCCTGCTACAACTGAACACCTCTGAAAAGTTATTGTTCATTCCCTAGAACAGTGCTGTCCAGTAGGAATACAATGGGAGTCTCACATGAGATTTTAAATTTTTTAATAGCCATATCGAGAAGGTAAAAAGGAAAAGGTAAAATTAACTTTTAAAACTGTATTCATTTAATCTCGTGTGCAAAGTATTTCAGTATGTAATCAGTATAAGCATTACTGAAATATTTTACACTACATTGTTTTCATACTAAGTTTGCAGTTTGGTCTGTTTTTTACACTTGCAGCACATGTCAATTCTCACTAGCTGCATTTCAGGTGGTCGGTAGCCACTTGTAGGTGATGGCTACCATGTTCATAGCGCTAGATTGTGAGATGTGAAAATTACGGTGCGCTCTTGGTCTTACATTCTTCTGCCTCATTTGGCAATAGACTCCTTTACAAGTATAAATTAGACCTAATTAAAAAAAATTTTGTAGTAAAATACATTCAATATACCATTTTAACCATCTTTAAGTGTACACAGTCCAGTGGTATTTAATATATTCACATTGTTGCACAACTGTCACCACCATCCCATAATTCATCTTGTAAAACTGCAACTCTAAACACATTAAGTAACTCCTCATTTCCCCCTTCTCCAGCCCCTGGCAACTACTTTTAAACTTTCTGTTTTCATGATTTTGACTACTCTAAGTGCTCATATCAAAATCGAATCATACAGCATTTGTCTTTTTGTGACTAATGTATTTTATCTAGCATAATGTCCTCAGGATTCACCTATTTCAGCAATTGTTGTTTCATATTGCAGAAGTTCCTTCCTTTTGAAAGCTGAATAATATTCCAATGTACATATATACTAGTGCATTTTACCTGCTCATCTCTGAATGGACACTTGGTTGCATCTGTCTTTTAGCTATTATGAACAATGGTACTGTGAACATGGATGTACAAATATCTCTTCAAGACCCTGCTTTCAGTTCTTTTGGTTATATACCCAGAGGTGGGATTTGCTAGATCATATGGTGCACCTATTTCTGATTTTTTGAGGAACCACTGTATTATTCTGCACAGCAGCTGGGCCATTTTACATTCCCACCAAGCATGTGTAAGCATTCCAGTTTCTCCACACCCTCCCAGATACTTGTTTTCTGTTGTGTTGGTGGTAGCTCTCCAGTGGTAGCTCTCCTAATGAGTGTGTGGTGGCATCTCAAAGTTTTGATTTGCATTTCCCTAATGATTAATGATGTTGAGCATCTTTGGCCATTGGCCAATGTCTGTTGGCCTTTATCTGTCTTCTTTGGGGAAATACCTGTTTATGTCTTGTGCTTATTTTTGAATTAGGTTGTTTGTTTTGTTGTTGTTGAATTTCAGTTCTCTATGTTTAGGATATTAATCTCTTATCAGATAAATGATATTTTTTTAGAAAAATTTTTTTCTTGTTAAGTAAACTCTACCCCAACGTGGTGCTCAAACTCACAACTCCAAGATCAAGAGTTGCATGCTCTACTGACTGAGCCAGCCAGGTTCCCCGCCTCCCCATCAGACAAATGATTTACAAATTGTTTTTTCCATCCTCTGGAAAAACCTTTTCACTCCATTGAAGTATTTTTTGATGCACAAAATTTTAAAATTTTTATGAAATCTGATTTGTATATATTTTTTCTTTTGTTTTCTGTGCCTTTGGTGTCATATCCAGAAAATCATTGCCAAATCTAATGTCATAAAGCTTTTGTCCAGTGTTTACTTCTAAGAGTTTAATTGTTTTAAGTATTACAGGTAGGCCCCTGATTCATTTTGAGTTCATTTTTGTGTATAGTATTTGATAAGGGTCCAGCTTCATTTACTTGCATGTGGATATTCAGTTTTCCCAACATTTGTTGAAAGCTGGCTTTCTGCACTAAAAGACCTTGGTACCTTTGTAATAAATCATTTGACCATGTATGTGAGGGTTTATTTCCGGGCTCTCTTATTCTTTTCATTGCTATATATTATTTGACTTTATGCCAGTACCACATTGTTTTGATTACTGTAGATTTGTAGTAAGTTTTGAAATCAGGAAGTATGAGTTCTCTGGGTTTGGTCTCTTTTTCTTTTTTTGGTCAAGATTGTCTTGGCCATTTGAGGTCCCTTGAGATTCAGTGTGAATTTTAGGATTTCTGTTTCTGGGGGGGAAAAAAACCATCATTGAGATGTTAATATGGATTACATTGAAGGATCTAAATTTTAAATTTAATGTAGCATTGTGCTTCGTCTCTCAATATGCATTTTAAGTTTACTGCTTACATTGCTTATTGGAAACTGTTCACTTACAACAGTTATATTTTTAGAACTAAACTTGTTAAAGCTAGATTTTCTTATACTTAATCATCTCTTACCTGGTAGCGTATATCTGAACAACTCCTATGAAATCTCACTTTTTAATTTTTCTTTGGACTTAGATAGTACTGATTTTTAATTAGATACTACATTAATTGGTCTGAGAGGAAGGTGTTCCATCTTGGAAGATGCTCTGCAGAAATCAGAGAAAGTGAGAGGGCTGGAACTAATCATTGTAAGCAGCCGTGTCCTGCAGCCCAGCCTGCTTTGTTTTTCTTATTTAGAAGAATCAATCTTGGGAGTTACCAGCACTTTTAGAAGCAATAAATCAGTCCCCTTTCTGAAATCTTTCTTGTTGGCATCAAGGTTAAAGCTCAGTGAGTTGCTGTGGCTTTCCTGGGTGTTTTTAGACTCAAAATAAAATTTCCTCTTTCAGAATTTGGTGTTCACCTGGCAGAGCTGACTGTGGATCCCCAGGGAGCACTGGCAATCCGTCAGGTAAGTCTAGACTGATTGGCCCAATTTATAAGTAATTTCCCTTTTACTTTCTTATTGGAAAGAAAAAGAATAAGACCAACTTACAATAACCTAGGGTTTTGTACCAGATTTAGATATACTTCAAACAAATGTATTAGGCCATCTGTATGTATGTGATTTGTATATATGAAGAAAATCTTTTTTCTTGCTGTACTACTTGGCTTATTCTCTTCGCAGCTGGCATCAGTCATTTTGAAGCAATATGTGGAAACTCACTGGTGTGCCCAGTCAGAGAAGTTTAGGCCTCCTGAAACTACAGAAAGGGTAAGGAAAGTTACTTGATTAGTCTACCTGTAGAAAGTGAGGGGACCATCTTAAGAGATTGAGTTGTCACCATTCTTTGACAACAGGGGGCAATCAAAAAAGACAAGGCAGAAAAGGAGATTGATTGGTAGCTGGCATTATGGGCATGAACGTGTTATAGGTAAGAGACCTGAGTATCAGGCTGACCTGTGTTCAAATTCCAATTCTGTCTTTTACTAGCTGTGAGAATATCGGAAGAGTATTTTAACCTCCAAGCTTCAGTTTCCTAAATATCTAAAATTAGAATTAGAAATCGAGCTTCAAAGTGTTGTTTAAGGATTAAACAAACCAATGTTTCTACTTAGTACAGCGCTATGCAGCCATTCTGGGCCCCCAAGAAATTCTGAGGTACAAGGTCTAGGGTAGCACTGCACATTGGAACTCTACAACTATGGAGATATTCTCTATCTGTGTTGTCTAGTGCAGTAGCTACTGGCCAAATACGTGTATTGAGCACTTAAAATGTGACTGATGCAACTGAGGAACTGAAGTTTTTATTACATTTTATTTTAATTAAATTTAAAGGGCCACATGTAGCTGGTGGCTACTATAATGGACAGCATAAGTTTAGAAATAATAGATGAACTCTCAAAATGAACGATTTGTCAGGTTTGTGTATTGGAATTTTTGATAGATCCACAGTATCTTACATGCATTGTTTTTTCAACACATAAACTGGATAAAATTCTGCCAGTCACTTATATCCTGGGCTAATGACAGGTGGGCTTTTTTCCTCTGCAGGCAAAAATTGTTATCCGGGAGCTATTGCCCAATGGGTTGAGAGAATCAATAAGTAAGGTGCGCTCCAGTGTGGCCTATGCAGTGTCAGCCATTGCCCACTGGGACTGGCCTGAAGCTTGGCCCCAGCTCTTCAACCTGCTCATGGAGATGTTGGTGAGCGGAGATTTAAATGCAGTCCATGGAGCCATGCGAGTGCTGACAGGTATCAGAAGCTATTCCCTGGTATTGGTCCTTGGATCTCAAAAACACTTGCAAGAGGTTATGTGACAGAATGGCCCTGACCAGTAGGAACTGAAATTTATAGCTCTTCTTGATGCTCCTCTTCCCTCCTAGTTTTTGTCTCCATGTCTGTCTATCCTCCTGCTCCCTTGACTTTTTCCAGGGAATCAAGTTGGTGTAGTACTCCTGCTACTATGAAACCTTACCACTTGAGGATAGAGTAATAGTATAGTGGTTGAGGATTCAGATTTCAGTTCATATTCTGGTTTTACCTTGACCAAAGTTATGTAGTCTCCTGAAAGTCAGTTTCCTTGTATATAAAATGAAGGTAATAATAGTGTTTACCTCAAAATTAGTAAGTTTAAATGAGTTAATAAATCTACGTAAAGTATTTGGTGCAATAACTAACATGAGGTAAGCACTCTGTAAATTTTAGCCGTTATGAGCATTATCATTATTATACTCATTTTCTACTTAGTTCAACCAAGGCAAAGTTAAGAATAGTCAAATAGCATTTTTTATAGGAATATAAGTAAGAAGATAAGAACAGTCTAACTATATAATTCTCACTTTCACTTGGTTGGTGTAGACCAAGTGTTTGGTATCTTTTTTTTCTTTCTGTTCTAAGAAAGTGATAAAAATACTTTAGTCCAAGGAGATTTGGTGGATATCTTGTCTAAGCTTGATTACTCTATTAATTCCTCATAGAACCTGTTTTCATATAGGTATGGCCTGAGTTTACCAACTCTGCAAGTTCTTCTTTGCTTCCTGTCCCTAGATGAAGTCACTACTCTGTTTTGCCTTCAAGGAATCCTTACCTGGACATTAGCCACTTTCTGTTGATCTTTTAGAAATCATATTTCCCCTCTGTTCATACAGGCTTGTGAAATGTCTTCCTATATCTTCTCTCTTTCTCTGTGACCTGATAGCTTACCAGAAATGTATTCTTAACTGAGTTATGAGTACCATTTCTGCTTTTCTTGACTCTCAGTTTATTGAACTTGGCATCTAGTCCCAATTTTACTAGTCCATGTTCTATTCATGGTAAATGATAGCATTTCTCTGTCCAAAAGCAAATTCTTCATCCCCTTTTGTTTCAGACCTCCTCTTCCCATGTCTTCGCTCCCTTTTTGAACTGCCCACTATATTAAAAATGTTCCTTGCTCAGATTTTCATTTCCCTGCTTATTATTTCTCTTGTTTTTCTTGTATGACTCATTATTCAGGTAACTTCATATACTCCTCTCCACGGAGTTAATCTTCTAGGATTCTTTATAACTTCATGGTGCCTGAGTATCAGTTAACAGCTATGTTTTCTACCAAGAGAAAGAAGCATGTTACCCTCCAGTCTTCCAACACAAAGTTCAGCTTTTTAAAAACTTAGAGGAGAGAAGTGGTTGTACATTTATCATAGTTGGGATACTATAGAACCATCATTGTGCTTGACTAAGGAAATCACTGTTCAGTGAGATCACTTTTCTTTCAGCCACAGGGAAAGAACTATGCGGGAAATGTGTATTGTTTTCTGTTCGAGTCAGCAAACATGAGATGGATGGCTGCCAACCTCCATTCCCAAATTGCTGCTTCACGTATTTTCAAACAAGGATAAACTGTGCTCCAACAGCAGCAAATCAGGCATGCGTGAAGACAGCAGGACACTGGTGTGTGAACAGGAGACTGTAGGAGAATAAGACTGATTGTCTTTAGTGTTTTTTAAGATACTATACCAGTCTCAGGGCACCTGGGTGGCTCAGTTAGCTAAACGTCTAACTTCAGCTCAAGTCATGATCTTGCAGAGCCCACTGTGGATCCTCTGTCTCTGTCTCTGTCTCTGTCTCTCTCTCTCTCAAAAATAAAATTTAAAAAACATTAAAAAAAAAAGATACTATACCAATCTCCCGTTAATAAACTTTCCATTAAGCTTATCTGTTTGTACATGAGAAGTAACTAACACTAATGGTGTAAAGGAAATGCAAACATAGCAGCTAAAGATTGAAATATTTGACCACAGCTACAGCTTTTTCTTCTGTCTCAAAGTTCAGAGATTGAGATATTTCCAGTGTCTTACACCTTTTCTAACTTGCTGAGTGACCTCAGAAAACTTACTTTGGACTTGAGCTTATAAAGTGTTAACAAATTGAGACTACTAGGAATGATTATAGGAGTGTAAAAAATGTGATTAAGCACTTTACTAGTAGGATTAAGTTAAACTACATTTTCCATAAAATTTGTTTTCGTTAATATGCTATTCATCACATTTGTTTGGACTAATTTCTTTGGATTTCTAAAGAAAATAGAACACTCATTTTATTCAAAGCTCAAAATTTATTCTTTAGGAGGAAACCAAGCTAGTAAAGAAGACTCAGCCTTGAATATATGATCTTCATTTGACTTCTGGCAATTAACATTGCCCAAAATTTGTGGGGTATAGTAACCTTGAAAGTGCCGACCTGCATTTCTAGTTACAGATTCTCCTGAAAAATGTCCCAGTTCACTAGCTCCATTTCTGTAGTGATAATGTGGGATTGCCAGGAAAAGCATCAGATAAAGTGAATAAACCCTGGAACCCCAGGGCTTGTATATCACAGTTTTAGTAACACGAGACCCGGGGTCCTTCTTGCTGTCCCATTGCCATGTGCAGAAAGTGAAGAGAAAGCCACCACCTCTGTCTCCCTCACCTCCTTCAAGTTTCATTTCATATATAGGTTTCTTTTCGCCACATTCATTTGGTAGAAATCCTTTATGTTCCAATGAGCAGTAGCCTCTGACTTCTAGGTCAATAAATGTCATTCACTGGGAAGAATAACATATACAGAGTGGAGCTGAAGCCTAGTAAGCCTGCATATGTTTTGTTATGTGGATCAAAACAACTTGCCAGGGGAGTGTTAAGAATGGAACCAAAGGTAAGACACCTTAAAGTGTACCTGGATGTTGACAATCAGGCATAACTTAGACTAAATACAGGATTTTCCTCAGGTGACCTTACAAGGACTTTTACACAGCTCTTACAGATTTTCTTTCAGTATTTATACAAAGTTATTTTATCCTCAGTTTTACGTATTTTCCTTATCCTTGTGCTATTCTCTTTCCCCTTCTAACAAATAATAACTCTTGCTATTGTTCCTTCCCCAGTATAAGACCACCAGGCCTGTGTCTTTACCTGTAGTCTGTCTACTTGGGAACTGCCACTTAGAAGCAATGCAAAAAATGTTCCCGCTTCCATCTTTATAAAGCAGTATTTTTCATAGTACTCCTTTTATCTTTGTAGAATTCACTCGAGAAGTAACAGACACACAGATGCCACTTGTTGCTCCTGTCATCCTCCCAGAGATGTATAAGATCTTCACTATGGCCGAGGTATGCAATCTCCGCTCCAGGATCACAGCAAACAGGTGCTGCTTAGGCTCTGGTCAGCCTCCACGTCTCGTGTGGGAGACTGTTGTATGTGCGGCGATCCCCCTACCTAAAGACCAGACCAGACAGAGATCTGAATCTGGGTTAACCTTAGATCCTTCATGTATAACTGCAAGGGCCAGCCTTCGGTAAGGGAGTGAAAGAGCTGCACAATTTCTTCACATATCTCATACCTCCTGGCACCCTGCAACCCCTGAGCACCTAGTGCTTTGTGTTCCCTCTGTCCTCTCGTTACGGCATCCTGCCTGAGCTTGCTCCCCTCAGTCAGGTGTGTGGAAGTCTTTCATTGCATTGCCCACAATAATAGGCTTATAAGATACTGTATATGTATTTGATTAATGTATAAACAAATGGTGACTCATTCACAATAAACTATGAGTGCCCAATGGGTAATGTTTTCACCCCCCTACTCCTCTCTGTCCCCAGCCAAGGGCCTGTCTTTTGATAGAAATACGTTGACTGTGTTGAGATTTCAAGCAGTGCCGACCCTAATATTTCTTATCAAATCAGCCCACAGAGGCCTACATATATAGGTTAATTCCAGTGAGTTCTAACATTCTGCTGGCTTTTAGTCTCTGGATTACAGAAGAAGTCTGTCTCCTGGATGTGAGTAGGTGACGTTTCCCATCTCTAGGGAATGCATTCCCATGTCAGGATTGAGAAGTCTTAGTTTTTCTTCTAACCACAGATAGGCAAATATAGACACGCACACCTGTCTCAGGGTTCTGCTGTAACTTTTCCCAGGTGTATGGTATTCGAACCCGTTCCCGAGCTGTGGAGATTTTCACCACTTGTGCCCATATGATCTGTAACATGGAGGAATTGGAAAAGGTAAGGAAGCCTTTGGGTCAGTAACAGACTTCATGCTTAAAAATCTTTATGCCTTCCATTGGAGGCATAGCAGTGACTCATTTCATTTCAGTAGTACCAGAATGCACACTAATTAAGGTTGCATTTAACATTTTGGTTACATTTTCATTTGTACATAGTTTAGTTTCCTTTTGTTTGTGCCTTATGTCTTCTAAACACCTTATCAGCATCTTTAGTCATCACCCAGAACTTCACTACTCTGTTACGTCCCTCTCACATGAGACAAGGGTAGTTGAAAAACACCAATCCCTGTCATTCAGAAGCAGTTTTGAAAAATTGGTCTTGTACAATAACTGTTAAGAAGGCCATGGTGATCAAGAAGATGTGGTTTATCTATACCATGGAATACTACATGGCAATGAGAAACAATGGAATCTGGCCATGTGTAGCAACATGGATGGACCTTGAGGGTGTTATGCTGAGCAAAATAAGTCAGGCAGAGAAGGACAAATATCATATGTTTGCACGTATAGGAGGATTAGGAGGAACTTAACGGAGGAACAAGGGGGAGAAGAAGGGCGGAAATGGTGGGGGAAAGGGAGAGAGGCAAACCATGAGAGACTCTTGAATGCTGACAAAAACTGAGGACTGATGGATGTGGGGGGGAGGAGGGATGGGCATGGAGGAGGACACTTGTGGGGATGAGCATTGAGTGTTATGTGGAAACTAATTTGACAATAAACTATTTGTAAAAAAAAAAGCCATGGTGTGGGGCGCCTGGGTGGCTTAGTCGGTTAAGCATCCGACTTTTGCTTAGGTCATGATCTCGTGGTTCGTGGGTTCGGGCCCCGCGTCGGGCTCTGTGTTGACTGCCAGCTCAGAGCCTGGAGCCTCTTTCAGTCTGTGACTCCCTCTCTCTCTGACCCTCCCCTGCTCACGCTGTTTCTCTCTCTCTCCCCTAGAAATAAATAAAAAATATTTAAAAAAAAAAAAAAAGAAGGCCATGGTGAGGAACTGCAGGTGTTAGAGAAGGAAACATGAACTCTTGGGTAACACTTCCAGTCACTTTCTAGCTACACTTTTATGATTAGAACCTGAGCCCAGAGAAATCTTTTGATGCTTCAAATCTTGGTGTTTGATATGTGCATTGAAGCCATTGGTTTATAAGTATGTTCAATATTGACTGTGGTTTATTACCAGGGTGCAGCCAAAGTTCTGATCTTTCCTGTGGTGCAGCAATTCACAGAGGCCTTTGTTCAGGCCCTCCAGATACCAGATGGCCCCACATCTGACAGTGGGTTTAAGATGGAAGTCCTAAAGGTAAATGTTTACTACCATTGAGATACTTGGAATTTTAGAGAGTGGTCTGAAATCATTGATTTTTCTCCTATATCACTTGTAACTCTCAGGTCTTTTTTTTCTCTGTAATTTCTCAGGCAGTGACAGCCCTGGTAAAAAACTTCCCAAAGCACATGGTGTCCTCCATGCAACAGATTCTGCCTATTGTCTGGAACACCCTAACTGAGAGTGCAGCTTTATATCCTTTTCAGAAAGCTTAAAGGACCTGCTACCACCCGTAGTCAGGAATCTAGCATTAGGTCTTGCATACATATGGTTCCACTTTCTTAAATGAGTTTATCAAAGTATCTACTCTTAGTGTTGGAATGTATAACATTCTCTTGTAGAAAATATGTAAAGCAGACTCCAAATTCTATTTCTTTACTCTTCATCATACTTATGTGAGGACAGAAGTAAATTACACAGAAGAAGTAGAAGATCCTGTGGATTCTGATGGTATGTAGTTTATTTGATCTTAACAGATATACCACTTGGTGAGGAAAGGGCTCTAGGAAAGGAAAAAAGCCAGAGACAGGTAAAAGCGGTAATATAGAGGCTTCCCTCTCGTAAGTTAAGTTTTCTAGTTGAGTTTCCTTTCAGTGTATTAGATGTGGGGAAATGAGACATTGAAAATCTTTAATCTGTTCTCAAAGGCATTTGCATAAATCTCATAAAATAGAATTTCTGATTTGGAAGAGATACCTTAAGGCTGTCTAATCCAGCCTACTTCTTTGTGGCAGATGATTATATTTTTACTTCCATTTTAATATTTTTTAAGTATTTCAAATCAAAAATAGACATGCTGGAAAATTTGTTCAGTGTTTCTGATTCTTTTACTTTAAAAAAACAAAGAATCTTTGATATTCTCCAAGTTCCTTTGTTTGACTCCTTAGTGTCCCTCTGTGTTCCCTTGGGAATAAAAATTAGCAAGTACTTTAAATATTCATTAATTTACCAGGATAATATAGTTCATTTCCAGCATTCATGCTTTCCTTTTGTTTGCTTGTCTTTAAAATCTTCTCCTGTGTATTTCCTGTAGGTGAAGTCCTGGGCTTTGAAAATCTCGTCTTTAGCATTTTTGAGTTTGTCCATGCCCTCCTAGAAAATAGCAAATTCAAAAGCACTGTTAAGAAAGCCTTGCCTGAGTTGATTTACTATATAATCCTGTACATGCAAATCACTGAGGAACAGGTAAATATTTGGGAGTTACAAATATTGTTTGTATTACAATATTGTTACAAACTGTTGGGAGAACAGTTACCAGCTTCTTTTTGGAAAGTGCAACTTGAATGTGAGATCTAGGTCAAGTGAACAGTTTTATTTCTAAAAATAGACACTAGAAGAATAACTTCTAGGAAAGCTTTTTTTTTTTTTTTAATGTTTATTTCTGAGAAAGAGCACATGTATGCATGTAAGCAGGGGAGGGGGAGAGAGAGAGAAAGAGAAAGAATCCCAAACGGACTCTGCATTGCCAGTATGGAGCCCAGTGCAGGGCTCAGGACTCACGACCATAAGATCATGATCCGAGCCAAAGTTAGATGTACAACCGACTGAGCCACTCAGGAGCCCCTGTAGGAAATCTCTGGGTACTATGGTTTTATTGGCTCCTATGTTAGATAATTGGACTTTGAGAATACTTTTACTTTTGCTTCCATAGTACCACTAACCAAAGACCGTGTTATCTGGAAGTTTGGGTCAGTAGACCAGAAAGGAACATTAAAAAAATAAGATAATGGCTCTCTTACATAAACAGCAAAAGAATTGACATAATTTTCACATTAAATATTCCATCAGACCTAATATATTCAGAAAGTTGATCTATGAGAAAATAAAAGCTGATTAAAAGTAGCAGAGAACTAGTAATCAGCAATATTCTAAAACAGTGTCTACTAGAGAACAGTAACTTTTGTTACTTGCCTTGGTATAGGATTTGCTTCTCTACATCAAAAGGAAAAGACTTTGAGGCTAGAGTTCTGCTCCAGTTAAAAACAAAAGGAGGCGCCTGGCTGGCTCAGTCGGTGGAGCACGCTATGCTTGATCTCAGAGTTGTGAGTTCAAGCCCTGCATTGTGTGTAGAGATTGCTTAAAAATAAAATCTTTAGAAAAAATAAAATAAAAGCAGAAGGTTGAAATCTTCTGTGTGTGTGGTTGAAAAAGGGGAGCATATGAACCAGATTGGCAATCTCACAAAGACCTAACTTCACTATCCTTTCAGATTAAAGTATGGACAGCCAACCCACAGCAGTTTGTAGAAGATGAAGATGATGATACTTTCTCCTATACTGTTAGGATTGCAGCTCAAGACCTATTGCTTGTAAGTGGGTTCCCTTGATACTTGAACCAAAATAACCTAATCAGTCACTTGACTGTTCCTCTTCTTTCTAGACAACTAACCCAAGTTGAGCAGTGTTATTGAGTGACTTTATCTTAGACTTCTTTAAGGATAATAAGAGAGCATCTTAAATGAAGTTTGAGACTCAGGAATTCCAAAGTCATTCTTACTAGTTTTGGCTTACAAGTAAATATTAGATGTAAAAATTATGCAGAGGGTCAAGTGTTCTAATGAGTAAGGGTAATTGAATCAGGAACATTCAGTTTAATTCACTCTTAAGCCAGAATCTAGCATAAACCAGATGTTGGCAAACATTTTTAAAAAGTTAGATTACTGAGAGATGAACATCCAAACAAACATCTGCTATTTCCTTTGGCTCCAACTAGAGCACAGAATTGTCTCTGGGCCGAAGTGTGAAAAAGCTGCCTTTTGCTGCCTGTTGAGTAGGAGGTTCTCATTATTAGTGAACACTTCCCATTAACCTTTAGTATTTCTAAGGCACCTATCAAAGATCACACTAAGTTTCAATTAATTCATAGACTAGCCTTTTATTTCTACAGTCAAGCTCCCAGAGAATAAATAAATAAGCTTTATTTGAAGCTGAATTAATCATTGCTTACACTCTGCTCAGTATAGCCAGAGAGCTTTATATTTTGTTAGCTTTACAAGCCTAGGCACTGCAGAAATACTACTTTAGTTCCATTAAAGACCCTGCACTAATAGGGATTATACTTTTAATGGGCCTACTTGGGACTTGGCATGTATGTGTGAAAGAGTGTAAACCATTGAGTTTGCAGTTAAATTTGCAGTTTGCAGTTAAAATGGGTTTAATTGCACAGATAGGTTTATTAGCCCCTACCCTCTCTCCCTAGGCTGTGGCCACTGATTTCCAGAATGAGAGTGCAGCGGCCCTGGCTGCTGCAGCCACTCGGCATTTACAAGAAGCTGAGCAAACCAAAAACAGTGGCACCGAACACTGGTAAGAGTGAGCACCAGATACGTAACTTAGGGACATACTCTGGGCATCAGATCTGAGGCAGTCAGGTCCTTGCTATGAATCATGTGTTTTAAAGCTGTTCCTCCCAACCTTAAAATAATTGTTTAAGATGTTTTTATTTTACCCTTTGATTTAGAAAGCTTTGAAGGGAAGGACTTTTACTTTGTTTTTTATTACAAAAATCTGTTATTAAATTTCCCTGTTTTCAGCGGCAGGTTTAGATTGGAAGGGCAGATAAACTCCCCTTTTGGGTCAGATTGTGCTGGAATGTCCATTCATGTTTCTGCTTCCTTCAGATGTCTTTTTGGCAGTGTAGTTTGTTTTACCAGGCTATGGTATCACTTTTGCAGGTGGAAGATACATGAGGCATGTATGCTTGCCCTTGGCTCAGTGAAGTCCATCATCACAGACAGTGTGAAGAATGGCAGGATTCATTTTGACATGCATGGGTTCCTGACCAATGTCATCCTTGCAGACCTCAACCTCTCAGGTACAATGCCAGGATTCAGAAAGATCTCTAGACCTGTCATCAACTCAGTTATGTTTTTCACTTAGATAGGTAGACCAGATATTCATGTGTCCTTTGGGTGAAAATTCTTTCCACCCTAGAGCTTGAACTCATCTGAACTTCTAACACAGCCTAGAGACCATGGCTGAAGCGTTACCAACAAACAGACTAATATTGCCACATTCATAATTTTTCCACTCTGTTTACTTTCCTTCCAGATCAGTGCTCACATTTATAGCTGGTTTTGGCATTTGAATGGGATGCAAATTTGGTTGCTGTATCTTGAGAACTTTGGCTTGAGTTCTGTCATTATTAAGTTCAAAATACCTTCAGGCAGTTTATGTCAGGCTCATTCTTCCTGTTTGTTTCCTGTCATTTTTCTCAAACTTTATTCTTGGCCAGTATTCAGATAATTAAAATGTTCCATTCTCATATTCATGTTAGCTACTTGCCTTAAAAGAAAATAAAAGTAGGCTGTACTATATTAGATTGATTTCTCCAGCAATGCAGAGCAGTGATTAAGAATCATCATTTCTCTCTTTGCCATCTTCAGTACGTTGCTTCTGCCTATGCCATGCCTTATTCTCATCCTTAGAGACTTTCCCCATTACAAAAGGCCATATTTGCTTTCTCTGAGTATGTAAATCATGGGACATGTTAATTGTTTGCTCTGTTCTCAGTCCTCTCACTTGCCTCTCGCTGGTAGGCTAGCCCTTTGAGTACTTGAAGCCATTTGAAAGCATTCTACTCTGTCTCTAAATAGGTAATCTGTTATAAGCTATCTCATGACATCACTTCCATTCTCTGAATTACAGAATTAAAGTGGTTGAGCATCCAGAGCTCAGACCCATTGGGAATATCTTTTTTCACTCTGTACTTAGCTTATGCTGGTGAATATGTTTTCTTTTCTCATAGAATAATGTGTCTGAAAATAGAAATCATGTCTAATACATGTTTGTATCCCTCAATGCCTTGCATATAATAGACATTTCATAATTATGTGTTGAATGAAAGTATTTGAATTTCTTAAACCCATCAACATATTTTTTTATAGAATTTACCTTAGCAAAGAACCTTAAAAAAATCCATGGAGACTTGAGAATATTTACAGTTGAGACCATTGTCCTGCCTATAGTTCAAAACTTTTTCTACACTAGCCATTCTCAAACTTTCTGGTATCAGGATCCCTTTACCCTCTTAAAAATTATCAGTGATCCAAAAGAGATTTTTCTGTGAATTGTATGTGTCAGTGTTTAACATATTAAAAATTAAAATTGAGGAGTTTCTAAAATACAGGAATTATGAGCATACATTTCATTAGCTGTCAGAGCTGTGGTGTCAACACATCAGATGACCTCTGGAAAACTCCACTATACACTTAAGGAAGAATGAGAATGAAAAAGATGGATAATGTCTTGGTATTACTATGAAAGTTTTAACTTGGGACTCCCAAGAGTCCCTAGACCATATTTTGGGAGGTGCTACTTGTATTATATAAATTAGTATGTAATTATATGGATGGCACAGGGTGTTAGGTTCTGCTCAATAATTCTCATCAACTACATGTTTATTTTACAAGTAACTAAGTTAAGCCCTGTGACAATCTGAGTAAGTAAGTCTCTGTCCTCAAGCAGGTTATAGTAGGAGGGGGTGGGGGGTGGGGTGGGGGGTAGTAGACCTTACACTGATGGCTGGAATATCCAACAAAATATGCTACATGTAAGAAAGCTAAAGACAGGATTACAGCAGCACAGAGATATTTAGGATTCTTTCAGCCCAGGAAGTCAGTTAGGTTATGCAAGTAGCAGTAAATGTGTTGGCCTATATACAAAGCACAGAAATGGCATTGTAAGATGTGAGTTGCTGGGAGGGGTGTATGGTTGAGTTTAGAAGGCATAAAGGGAAATCATAGGTAATTCTAGTCATTGATCTTAGGGGGCGGTGAATATAAGACTTAACTAAAGTGGTCTTTATTTGGTAGACTGTGGAATTTATTGATAGATACTAAATAAAATGATGACAGAGATATAATTTACAATGTTCCAACGATGGTCCAAGAGTAGGGAAAACTGGCTGGCAATGGAGAAGACACTTAGAGGACTAACTAGTAATGCAGGTAAAGGATGATGAGAGCTAGGGTTGGGAATGAGGGAGGTAAGTCTTTTTAGCCTAAGAATATTCAAGATCTACTTGCAAATAGTGCAAAGTGAAACTGGGAAAATGATTCTGTACCAAAGGTCGTATATTCGTTTTTATCTTACAAGATCATGCTTTTTTGTTAATTAAGTTGTATATATTATGTAGTATCCAATTACTGTGACAAGTTGAGGATGGAGGTGAGAAGGAGGAAGGGCAAGTAACAGAACCTATTATTGTCCAACCCCTAATTGGTCTCTTTTCCTCCTAGTGTCTCCTTTTCTCTTGGGCCGGGCACTTTGGGCTGCCAGTCGGTTCACTGTTGCTATGTCCCCTGAATTGATCCAGCAGTTTCTACAGGCAACAGTTAGTGGTCTTCATGAGACACAACCTCCATCAGTTCGAATTTCTGCTGTGAGAGCCATCTGGGGGTGAGTATACCACCTCAAGGTGTTAGGAGCTATTTCGGAGAAAATTACTCAAAGTCCCAAACAGCATTTGGCCAGTGGATTATGTTGCATAGAAATTTCTGATGAAGATCTCCTACCCAATGGTGAATGGAGAGGGAAAGAAACCATATCAGGAACATTGCGTTGAGAGATAAATAATATGCATAAGATTGCACAGTAAAGAATTATAGAAGTAGGATTAGAGCCAGGTCTAATTTATTGATTTATTTCTCTGTATAAATTTGGGATAATGTAGCCTAAAAACACTGCTTATTTTTTCCCAATTTTACCTCTCTTTTTCATAGCTAGTCTACTAGTGGCTCAGCTAGTTATTTATTTATATTCCTACCAAGATCAGATGGAGCATTGTTGCTTTAAGAAACATATTAAAGTCAAAACTTAAAAGTCTCAATTGGGGGCACCTGGGTGGCTCAGTCGATTGAGCGTCTGACTTCGGCTCAGGTCATGATCTCTGTCCGTGAGTTCAAGCCCCGCGTTGGGCTCTATGCTGACAGCTCAGAGCCTGGAGCCTGCCTTGGATTCTGTGTCTTCCTCTGTTTCTGCCCCTCCCTTGCTCACGCTGTCTCTCTCTCTCTCTCAAAAATAAATAAAACATTAAAAAAATAGAAAACTGCCTTGAAACCAACAAAAATGGAAATATAACATACCAAAACTTATGGGATGCAGCAAAATCAGTTTTAAGAGGGGAGTTTATGGAGATAAATCTACATTAAGAATAAACAAAAGAAAAGATCTCAGTCGACCTTTACATCTCAGGAACTAGAAAATGAAGAACAAACTAAGCCCAGAAGTTAACCATAGGAAGATCAGAGCAAAAATAGAGACCAGAGAAACAATAGAGAAGACCAACTAAACTAAGAGCTGTGTTTTCTGAAAACACAAAAATGACATACTCTAGCTAGACTAAAAAGAAATGAGACAAGACTCAAATATAAATCAAAAATGAAAGAGGAGGCATTACAACTGAGTATCACAGAAATGAAACGAATCATAAAAGACTAACAAATTATATGCCAACAAATTCGATATCTAGAAGAAATGGAGAAATTCCTAGAAACCTGCAACTTACCAAGTCTGAATCATGAAGAAATAAATAATCTGAACAGACCATTAACAAGTAAGGTTATTGGATCAGTAATCAGAAACCTCCCATAAAAGAAAAACCAGGACCAGGTGAATTCTACCAAACATTTAAAGAATTAATACCATGGTGCACCTGGGTGGCTCAGTTGGTTAAGTAGCCGACTTTAGCTTAGGTCATGATCTCGCAGCTCGTGGGTTCAAGCCCTGTGTTGGGCTCTGTGCCAACAGCCCAGAGCCTGGAGCCTGCTTCAGATTCTGTCTCCCTCTCTCTCTTTCTGCCCCTCTCCCCCCACACTCTGTGTCTCTCTCTCAAAAATAAATAAAGCATTTAAAAAAAAAAAAAAAAAAGAACCAACACCAATCCTTGCTCAGACTTTTCCAAAAAAATTGAAGAAGAGGGAGCACTTTCAGACTCATTTTATGAAGCCAGCATAATCCCAAGCGAGACAAGGACAGTACAAGAAAACTATAGGCCAATATCCCTGATGAATATAGGTGCAGAAGTCCTTAGCAAAATACTAAGAAACCAAATTCAACAGTACATTAAAAGGATCGTGCACTATGATCAAGTGGGATTCATCCCTGAGATGCAAGGATGGTTCGATATATGTAAGCCAATAAATGTGGTATACCACTTAATAGAACGAAAGCTAAAAATCGTATGATTATCTCAATAGAGGAAGAAAAAACATTTGATAAAATTCAGTATCTATTCATGAAAAAATCTCTCAACACAGTGGGTATAATAGGAACCTTAACACAGTACAGGCCACTGTGACAAACTCACAGCTAACATCATACTCAACAATGAAACTATGGAATCTTTTCCTCTAAGATCAAGAATAAGACAAGGATGTCCACTCTCACCATTCCTATTCAACATAGTACTAGAAGTTTTAGCTAGAGCAGTTAGGAAAGGAAAACATCCAAATTGGAAAGGAAAATCTGAAATTGTCTCTCTTTGCAGTTGACATGATATTATAAATAGAAAACACTAAAGACTCCACACTGATCAACAAATTCAGGAAAATTAAAGGACAAAAAATATACAAAAATCAGTTACATTTCTAATAAGGAACTACCAAAAAAAGTTTTTAAAAACAATGCTATTTATAATTGCATCAAAAACTATAAAATAGTAAGAAATAAATTTAACCAAGTAAGGGAAAGATTTGTACACTGAAAACTATATGACATTGAATTGGGGCACCTGGCTGGCTCAGCTGGTTAAGCATGCAACTCTTGATCTCAGGGTTGTAAGTTCAAGCCCATGTTTGGCATAGACATTCCTTAAGAATAAAATTGGTTTTTAACAAATACTTCTACTTGAGTCACATTTCCCAAATCATAGTTAATGCCACCCTTTCTCCAGAGCTCTAAATTAGCCTATCAGCTACTTATCAATACCAGGGTAGATAATCTTATATAAGTATCTGAAAATTAATTTTTTTAATGTTTTATTTATTTCTGAGAGAGAAAGAGGCAGCATGAGCAGGGGAGGGTCAGAAAGAGAGGGAGACACAGAATTGGAAGCAGGCTCCAGGCTCTGAGCTAGCTGTCAGCACAGAGCCCGACAAGGGGCTTGAACCCACAAACCGTGAGATCATGACCTGAGCCAAAGTCGGACGCTTTAGTTGACTGAGCCACCCAGGTGCCCCATAAGTATCTGAAAATTAACACATCCACTGCTGAGCTTACTACTGACCACATCCAACCCTGCCCTACATGTATTCTCTGTTTTAGTAAAAGAAATCGGTACCTTTTTTTTTTTTTTAAGAAATTAATACCTTAAATCTTAAAGAAATCTTGTATTTCCTATTTTAGTAAAAGTAGAGATCCCAGATCTCTGCGTTTTACTCTTGGTTCCTTAATTTCTCATCTCTTCTTCTCTCCTACTCCTACCCTTGCTTATATTCTCAACTTCTTCTGCCTGGAGTGCAGTAGGTTCTGAATTGATGTCTCTGCCTCCAGCCCCCACTACTGTAATCTGTATTATTTTAGCTGTCTAACTGCTCTTTCTAAAATAGAAACCTGATATTTTTCCTCCTATAATAAAATTCTCATGGCCCCAATTGTGCTCTTCAAATTGAGATACAGGCACCCCAGAAGAAAGTCATAGTATTCCATGTGTACATGAAACCACAGGATAAATCTGTAGCATCCTCCTGGGGTGTCAGTTTCTCTTGAAGACTTAATGGGAGGGCAAAGAAGTATTAGGAATAATTTGTAAAAAAATTTGAGATACACTAGCTTCCAAAATAAAGTCTAATCTCACTTAGCATGTCATACAAGGTCTCATATGATCTGAGCAGATGGTGCAATCTTTTTGATCTACCAGACTATAGTTTCAAGTTCTTCAGAAGGGGAGAGTAACTTTGAATTGTTAGAGTGAAGAAGCAGAGGGGAGGACGTAGAACACGACTACCAGTAGAGATGAATTCAAAACCTAGTCTAAGGAGTTGAGAGCTGACCAAGACCAGATGACAGATCAGCTCTTAAGGGAAAGTTAGATCAAAGCAAGATGGAATTGAAAATCAAGATGTTATGGACAAAAAACCCAAAAAGTCTATGGACAAGTCTGAGATCAAAGCCCACACTTTCACTGTTCATTATGGACCTTTGAACCCATCATAATGTTTTTATAAAACCACTTTAAAAAAATTGGGACAAAACATTTATTGAGTACCAGAGGAGGGCCTTGTTTCTGTACTAGTTCTATTATTAACATAGACAAACAGTGTCTTTATTGACTTTTGCCATTTTGAAGATAAACAAAAGACTCAGACAATATGCCTTTAATAATTCTATTACATTGGACATGGTAAGCAGCACACAGTAAATATTACTTGAATAGAGGTGAATAAGGTAAAACTACATATAGAAAACTTTAAACCCTACAAATACTACACAAATTTTAGTACACAGTTTTCTATCATGCACAGATAGTATATAAATTTATTGCATAGAAGATCTAGACAAATTGATCTCAAAAATATTCCAAAAAGTATAAAATTATTTAACTTGAAAGTTAAATAGTCTACTAAATAACAGTTGTGTTGGAAAAGATGTTAAAAACACTGTTAACTGCTTGAAAAATAACAGGAATAGGGGCACCTTGGTGGATCTGTCTGTTGAGCAGGTCATGAGTTTGAGCCCTACATCGGGCTCTCTGCTGTTAGCGCAGAGCCTGCTTCAGATCCTCTGTCCTCCTCTCTCACTGCCTCTCCCCCACTCATTCTCTCTCTCTCTCTCTCAAAAAAAAATTTACATATATACATATATGTATACATACACACATAAAAGAATAAAGTGTGTGTGTGTGTATGAAAAATAATCAGAACTATATATCAGAATCTGAAGGATGTGATTAAAGCAGTAATCCAGTGAATTATAAAGCATTTAATTAACATCTTAATAATTTGGATATAGTAGTATATATGACAGTGAGAGAGGGATGAAAGCTTAAAAGAAACGGTAAAAACCAAAGCAGAAATAAATTAGCAGAGATGGCGGTGCTGTTATTTACAAAATATGCCACAGAAAGGTGTAAAAACTAATCTATAAGTAGCTTTGTAAAGCTACATGTATAAATGCTGTAACGTGGTAACAGTTGGAAAAAGCAGGAATTAAGGGATCCGCTTGTGAGTAATTCTTGCTTCTCTCTCTGTCTCTCTCTCTCTTTCTCCCTCTCTAGTTATTGTGATCAACTGAAAGTCTCGGAGAGTACCCACGTGCTTCAGCCCTTCCTCCCGAGTATCCTGGATGGCTTAATTCACCTAGCAGCCCAGTTCAGCTCAGAGGTCCTCAACCTGGTGATGGAGACCCTATGCATCGTTTGTACAGTAGACCCAGAATTCACAGCAAGCATGGAAAGCAAAATCTGCCCATTCACCATCGCTATTTTCCTAAAGTACAGTAACGGTATGCCACCAAAAACATGTATTATAAGGGACAGCAAGAAACGGTGGTGGTGGCTGGTGAATTTAGGTGAAAATTTTCCCTGGGTCTGATGGTCCTAAACATCTAAACAAAGACTGGCTTTCACTTAGCAAAGAGAAGAGCTTTGCTGTAGCTAAAAAGTAGAAAGCTGGGGGTGCCTGGGTGGCTCAGTCGGTTAAGCATCCAACTCTCAATTTTGGCTAAGGTCATAATCTCACACTTTGTGGGTTCGAGCCCCACGTCAGGCTCTATGCTGACAGCATGGAGCCTGCTTAGGGTTTTCTCTCTCTCTCTCTCTCCCTCTCCCTCCCTCCCTCCCTGTCTCTCTCTCTCTCTCTCTCCCTGTCTCTCTCTCTCTCTCTCTCCCTCCCTCCCCCCACTCTCTCTCTCTCTCTCTTCCCCACCCCCCACCCTGTCTCACAAAAATAAATAAACATTTTTTAAAAGGTAGGATACCTATTCCTATAACTCTTACCTGCAGTAAGAGCTGAGGAAAAAAGATAATGAGTGAAAGGTTAACTAATAAAAGGTATAATTCAGAACTTTAACAAGCAAGTAGGAAATTGAACAACTAAATCAAAATCTTCCTAAAAGAAGAGGCCTAGAGCTATAACGTACAAAGTAAGATACTGAAGAAATAGATACACACACAGGTTTATGAACAGCACTGTTCATCACATGGCTTCTATAGTAGCAAAAGTCTAGAAGTAATAAAAAAGATTAATTACCTTTATTATATCCATAAAGTAGAATACTGTGCAGCCTCTAAAAATCAAACTTCAGAGCCATGGGAAAGCGCCCACATCTAATAGAATAGATGGTTTTAAAAACTGCATTGACTATTATAATCCCAAGTTTTGGGTTTGTTGTAGACAAGGATTAACTTATAGATCTGTATATTTTAAAAATGCCAGAAAAAAACTACATCAAAATGTTAACAGTGTTCTCTCTAGATGATGGAATTCAAAGTGTTTTTCTTGAATACTTTTGTGCATTTTAAGTTTTTCAGTAGTGAGTATGTCTTAACACACACTTTACTTATGTCTTATTGTCATTAAAAAATACTGAGTTTATTTGTTTTTGTAGAAGGAGCACCAATATTGAAATAAAGGCTATAGCGGTAGAGGTTATATAATATGATACCATACTAAATATTTCATTTGATTCGCTTTTTCACTTAAAATGTGTCCCGGGGAGGTTTCCACGTTGCATTCTTAGATACATTTCATTCTTTTCAACCATTACATAATATCCAATAAATGGCTGTGTCATATTTATGTGCCCATTCTGTTAATGGACATCTACATTGTTTACAATTTTTTTCTAAAACACTGCTTCAGTGATCTCTTAACATGTATCTTAGTGCACTGCACACTTTTCTATTTTTTCATGCTAGATACAGGAGATTTTTCTTATATAGGTAAGGTAGGTCACACTAAAGTTTTGTTTCTTCACAGCCCTGCTTTCTGAGGATTGGCCTTGGAAATGCTTTAGGAGTTCTTTTTTCTATCATGACTACCCAGTAGGAGATGTATATGATTCCCCTTCAACATGTGAGAACCTGACAATGAGTATTTTGGCAATTTTTGAAACTTTCATGTCTTCTTAACAAAGTAATCAGCGGGTTTTTCTTTTCCTTAAGCATTTGGTTTCCTAATCAATCCAGGTTTCATAAGAATAAAGACATTCAAGATTTGTCCCAGAATTGGAATTTAGGAACCAAAACAGATGAACATATGGGAAGAGGAAACAAAGAGAGAGCAAGCAAGGAAAGCAAATCATAAGAGACTCATAATGATAGAGAACAAACTGAGGGTTGACGGAGGGAAGTGGGTGGGGGATGGGCTAGATGGGTGATGGATATTAAGGAGGGCACTTGTTATGAAGAGCACTGGATGCTTAATGGAAGTGATGAATCTCTAAATTCTACTCCTGAAACCAATATCACACTATAGGTTAACTAACTAGAATTAAAATGAAAATTTGGAACTTGAAAAAAAATAGTTGCTCCAGAAAAAGAGCCAAATTTTGTTTTAGGAGAGGCTGTTACTGACTAGTCCCTGACTTAATGAAACCATGCATATTTTAGCTGTTGGAGATTTAGCATCTCTCCTGACCTTTTAGATTATTCACATGGCCTCACTAGGTCCCAGGTGTGTGATATGTAAGCAAAGCAGAAGCTGTTAACTTAGGTTAGACCCAAACGATAGGTATCATTAATCCAGAAGCACATGCAGACCATTGGATGGGGGGGATTCTGTGTTGCCTTATCCACTTCAGATCCTGTCGTCGCCTCGCTGGCTCAGGATATCTTCAAGGAGCTGTCTCAGATTGAAGCCTGTCAGGGCCCAATGCAGATGAGGCTGATTCCCACTCTAGTGAGCATAATGCAGGCCCCAGCGGACAAGATCCCTGCAGGGCTGTGTGCGGTAAGTGGCTTCAAGGCCAGTACTGGTGTGGGTGTAGGTATAAGAACAAGAATGTGTGCATGCTCTGCAAATGTCACCTGTAGATCCCACCTAGCTGATGGGAAACCAATAGCGTAAGAGATTCATGGGGTGATTTTCCTGGGCTACTTTGCCCACAAGGACAGTGAATAGGTGATTCTTGAGGCTTTAAGAAAACATCTCTTCCTGTTCCATTGTTGCCCTCAGTGAATTGAACAGAATGCCATTACTACACAGCACCACTCAGTACATCACCAGGCTATCCATTCTGCTGCCAGACACTGCCCACCCCCATATCGAAGCAGTTAAGAGCTATCAGGAGGAGACTGAGAGTACTATCTACTATCTAATTATGCCTTTCTTTCAGAACCGTTCATTAATGAAAATTAATGCACTTTCTTGGCGTTGCTGTGTTGTATCCGTACAATAAAGATCTTAGTTATAGGGCACCTCCTACCCCCACCTAATTAGAAATTAGAGGCAATTTCTAATTCTTTTTTTGTTTTCCATTCTTCAGACCGCCATTGATATCCTGACCACAGTAGTACGGAATACAAAGCCTCCCCTTTCCCAGCTACTCATCTGCCAAGCTTTCCCTGCTGTGGCACAGTGCACCCTTCACACAGATGACAACGCCACTATGCAGGTATCTTGAGCCATGGTGACCAGAAAAGGAACGAGCTCCCAGCCACGGGCTTATAGCAGGATGAGAGGCCTGACAGTCTCATGTTTTTGAGATCTAAGTCCCTCAAACCCATAGTTAAGCAAGGGACCCAGGAGTCCAGACTGTGGAAGCCAAACATGCTCTGCTTTGGGATATGTTGTTTTTTTAAAAGTATGGATGTGAGACATTCTACCCATCTCTGTCTGGGTATTGCTACGGTGAACAAGGGTACAGACATAGGAGCTACACGAAAAGCCTTCTCTGACTTAAAGTGAGCAAAGTATTAGCTCTTTGAAAATCTCTAGGTAGACATGGTTCATACAGGTCTGTCTGTATTCCCACAAAGACCTGTAGTACCCCTAATCACTGCTACATCTTAGACATGTTTTTCCAGTACCAGAGGTAGACCTGTATGGTTAAAACTTGGTTTGCTTGGCCAGTATCCCTTGTGATCAGAAGTGTGCATTTTCGAGGTAGCTGATGAGGTAAAGCGAGGAACATGTAGTGCATGGCTGTATCTTTAACAGTAAATTCCTGACTCCAGTAGTATGTGCCCACCACAGACCCTGTGGGCTCATCACTCTTATGTGGCATAGGCCTCTAAGAGTTGCATCTGCCCATGCAGACTGAGGGCCTCCTGGCATCTGGCCCCCTGTTGCTAATGTCATTTGCCACCTTTGTCTCCTCAGAATGGTGGAGAGTGCTTGCGGGCTTATGTGTCAGTGACGCTGGAGCAGGTGGCCCAGTGGCATGACGAGCAGGGCCACAATGGGCTGTGGTACGTGATGCAAGTGGTGAGCCAGCTCCTGGACCCCCGCACCTCAGAGTTCACTGCTGCCTTTGTGGGTCGCCTCGTCTCCACCCTCATCTCTAAGGCAGGGCGGGAGCTGGGGGAGAATCTGGACCAGATTCTTCGTGCCATCCTCAGTAAGATGCAGCAGGCAGAGACGCTCAGTGTCATGCAGGTGAGACAGTAGTGGGGAGCTGGGCTTTCCCAACCCCAGGTGGTGGAGATGGAAATCAGTGCAGGTCCTGAGGGGCTGGGTTGGGTTGAGTTGGGTTTGGTTTGGTTTTTGAGAGAGAGAGAGAGCATGAGGGTGGGAGGAGCAGAGAGAGAGGGAGACACAGAATCCAAGGCAGGCTGCAGGTTCTGAGCTGTCAGCACAGAGCCCGACACGGGGCTTCAAATCACAAACTGCAAGATTATGACCTGAGCCACCCTAGTACCCCAGTCCTGAGTTATGTTACTCTGTCTTACTGTCTTTGTAGAACAGTTAAGTAAAATCTCTTCTGACCTGCGAAATCCCGACAAGGAAATCTCCATGTTCTCCTCTTTTTCTCAACTGGCCAGCCCCACTCCCTCTCATCTCCTCTGAAATTGTTTACCCTGAAGCGATGTTCTTCTTGTTACTTCCTAGTCCCTGATCATGGTGTTCGCTCATCTGGTGCACACGCAGCTGGAACCCCTCCTGGAGTTCCTGTGCAGCCTCCCAGGACCTACTGGCAAACCTGCCCTGGAGTTTGTGATGGCCGAGTGGACGAGTCGACAGCATCTGTTCTATGGACAATATGAGGGCAAAGTCAGGTAGGGCCCATCTTTCTTCTCTGGGCATTCTTCCTCTCCTTGTATTTCTTTCCCTGACTTGCTCCATTGATTTTTGTTCAATATATCAGACTGCTCCTTGTCTTCCTTTCTTCCTCTGTTTCTTTATTGCTAATCTATGTCTTTGAATAGCTGCCATCTTGAAACTCCCAAAACACAGTCAACACACATCGAACATTTTACCCCCCCACTGCTGGCCAGAGATTGTCCTCTGCCAGACTTCACCCAGCCAAATACTGCTAGTGGCTTATTCTTTATAAACCCAAGCCATCAGGGGCGCCTGGGTGGCTTAGTCGGTTAAGCGTCTGACTTTCGCTTAGGTCATGATCTCGTGGTTCGTGGGTTCGAGCCCCACGTCGGGCTCTGTGCTGACTGCCAGCTCAGAGCCTGGAGCCTGTTTCAGATTCTGTGACTCCCTCTCTCTCTGACCCAACCCTGCTCACGCTGTCTCTCTCTCTCCTAGAAATAAATAAAACATTAAAAAAAAATTTTTAACGTTTAAAAAAAAAAAAAACCCAAGCCATCTAATCTTGGCTCCCTAACTTCCTGTCCTAGACTTGCCTCTCACTGGCTCTCATCACCCCATTGTACCTTCCAGTGTGGCCAGCCCCTGTGATTCTTGCCCGCTCCAACTTTGTTCCAAAAGTTCAAAAGCTCTCAAGAGGCCATCCTCATGAACACTAAATCCCAATTTCAGCTGAGCTCTCTTATCTCTCCTAATTAGTCGTGAACAGAATTTTCATCATCAAAGAGAGTTTTAGGGCATAATTGCTTCTCTCCTTGGAGTGAACTCTAGATGGGTGGCTGATCGACCCTTTTTGACTCTTCCTTGCCAGCTCTGTGGCACTGTGTAAACTGCTCCAGCATGGCATCAATGCAGATGACAAACGGCTACAGGATATCCGCGTGAAGGGAGAGGAGATCTACAGCATGGACGAGGGCATCCGCACCCGCTCGAAGTCAGCCAAAAGTGGGTGACGCCACTGCCCTCCAGTCCCCTCCCTAGGGGCTAAGGATGTGTGGGGTGGAAGGCGTAGATGTAGTATGATCTAGATTTTTAAAATACAGTTGTTAGTGATAGGTTCGATAAAATGGAACAGAAAACTATAGGTAAATGGGATCAGAACATATGGTTCCTTCCTGTTGCTGAAAATTGCCAAAGCAATCTCGGATACCAAAGCTCCCCAGCTTCCAGCTTCATTCAAGGACTCTAATACCCATTTTCGGCATGTCTTTGTTATTGGGTTGCTTTCATTGATGTGTAGGCGGTGAATGCAAAGCTGCCCTCTTCAACTGTAGCTTTCTAATCACCCGTGCTGTTTCTCAAACTGCAAGTCATGGGGACTGGAGTACTATGCTCTGTACAGTCACTTGGTGTCCAAGATTTATTACCACCAAATACCTATCTCCTTTAGCTCCTGAGCTCTCTTAGCTGTCCTAACTTCTAAACTCTTGTAACACCAAGCAGCATGAAATTATTTAACTTTAAATCGTTCTGTGGCAGCTAGATATAGTCTGGGGTGGTGGAAAGCCTGAGGGATGGTGACCTGTGTCTGGTGAGCAGCCCTGCAGGAGGTCGGAAGGCACTGCCAGAAGTGAGCCCACTGAAAGCCTGCCTAGAAGCATTTCCATTCCTTTCCAGACCCTGAGCGCTGGACAAACATTCCTTTACTGGTCAAGATCTTGAAGCTGATCATCAATGAGCTGTCCAATGTCATGGAGGCCAACGCCGCACGCCAGGCCACTCCTGCAGAGTGGGGCCAAGGTGCACCAGGCCCTTATTCCCAGCAAACTTTTAAGCCTGCCAGATCAAGTTACAAATACTCAAATTATCGATTTGGTTTATTGAGGCACTGAGGTATTTTTAATGTTTACTGCATGCCTGCCTTGTGGCTGGCATTGCTGCACATGTGAAGGGCTGCTCTTCGGGTCTACCTTGTACAGTCTCTTCAGGGGCTGGGGCGGGAGGCGGCCAGGAGGCAGGCAGCTTAGCCCTTTCTGCTTGGTTTTCCTCAAGAGCTTTTCAACCTTTTAGGTACCCACCAGAACACCCTCGTTTCTTCCATTCAGGCTCATTGGGAGGGCTTAGCCACAGGCCACATTGCAGAAACCCTTGGGACCCTCCTATTCTGGCCTGTTTACGTTTGGGAAGGGAAAAATCTGTGAGTATGCTCCAGCTGCTTTTCATCTCCAAGCAGATGAATCCAATGATATGTGGGAGGACCAGGAGGAGGACGAGGAGGAGGAAGAGGACGGTTTAGCTGGCCAACTCTTATCTGACATCCTCGCTACAAGTAAATATGGTAAGTGGTTTGGAAGAGGAGAGCCACGCTAAATACCACTGGTACCAAGAATGGGGTGCCAAAGAAAGGGGAGATGTGGGCCTCACAGGGGACATTCCTTGGGCTTTTTAGCCCTTCTCCCTCAGCCCTGTGGTGATGCCTCCCCACTTGGGGCCCAGTCGGCCTCTGCCCTGACCCCTCTCTGTGTTGGCTCTAACAGAGGAGGATTACTACGAAGATGACGAGGAAGATGATCCTGATGCCCTGAAGGATCCTCTCTATCAGATTGACCTGCAGGTGAGAATGTCCAGAAAAGACAGATGTCTTGCAAGTGACAAAGTTTCAAGCCACAGAAACAGGAATATAGGCTCAAACCCCTTCATAGTTCATCCTGGCAGCCTCAGGGCACAGAGTTCCCGTCTTGCCAGGTAGTCCGAGGCTCTGGGTGGGCTGGGACTTGGCACCGTAGTGTTTTATACCTACAAGTGTCGCGGTCCAGCTTCTTAAAACCCAGCTACGTTGTGTATTGGGAAAATTGGTTTCTTTATGGAATTTAGTCTCTGGGTCGAACCTGAACTAGATCCAAGAATGTAGAAAGTCATCCCTCCAGGGTGCTGGCACTTGTCGAACAGCCAGTGCTTCGTGCTTCCTGTACCGCTTGTAGTTCTTGCCCCTTACAGATGGTAAGCCTGAGAACCTGCAGTAATACCACTCTTTGTCTTCTCTCCAGGCCTATCTCACAGACTTCCTCTGCCAGTTCGCTCAGCAGCCCTGCTACGTAATGTTCTCAGGCCACCTTAATGACAACGAGAGGCGGGTTCTTCAGACCATTGGCATCTAAAAAAGGGAGACTTTCCAAATCTGCTCCTCCTGGTCCAGCCACAGACCATTTTTGCAGCCCTTAACTGGCCTTGAGCTGTACTTTCTTTTCAACCTAGAGTGGCCTCCTGACTTGGCCCTTGGCCTTTGCAGAGTGACACTGACAATTCAGACCAAGGTCACCAGTGCTGTCACTTAGGAATACTGGAACAAAGGACATTTCTCAAAAGTCCCTCTGAAGATACTCCATCTCTAGGACCTTTTTCTCCCCAACTGTGCCCCCACCTCTGTTCCTAAAGTCCTCTGCTGGCCACTCCAGAAACATATTGCCCAGAAGGATTATGTGTTCATGGATTATTTTGCCCCACCGAAGGAGCACAGGAAGTCACAACCATTTACCTTCTAAAACAGACCTGTGTACTTTTATAGGACATCTGATGTGTTCAGATAGGAATACCCTTGAGAGATGATAATGCTTTCTGCTCTTCGCCACAGATGCTCTGGGTTTTCCATAGGAACGAGAGGGAGCAGCCACATTTTGGACCCCTCCCCCCCTCCCTCCAGTGACCTCTCCTTGTCTCCCTCCTACAACACTAAGGCTCCTCTGTCACAGGAAGTCCTTTTATTTTTGCCTCGTTGCATGACATAGCCCCTCCCCCCAAGCTATTCCTGTGTTTACATGCACACACAAAATCAGCCAGACAGATGGCAATTTGTTTTTCCTTTTTTAGAAAAAAAAAATGGGAAAAACATTTTTTTTAAAGTCCACCTAACCCAACTATATTTAATATTCCTTTCCCACATATCACCACACAGTCTGATATTCAAAGGTTACCCCCTCTCCCTCAGGAATCCTCTAAAGTGGTTAAGTTGTAGCCCTCAAATTTGCAATGTGTATTTTTCTAGGAGAGTAAAGTAATCTTTACAAATGAATTTAGTCTGCATGGTATAAGGTGTCCCAGCACCTCTGCCTTCTGTTCCTTTTAGAAGGAAAATAAAAATAAGGGGGAAAGGATTAGGCAGAGCCATGTACACACCCTAGTGTGTTTTAGCTAACCTAGCCCAAAATGATTCTTAAAGAACTGGTATTATCCAATCAAATATTTTTAAGGAAAGTCCCTTAATTGGGAAATGCAGTCATTGTGGGTTTAAAAAGTGAGTGAGGATAACCAGTCAAGGGGAGGAAGGTAAAAACCCAGCATTCCCTTTTTTTATAGTGCCCATGCCTATTGCCCCAATTTCAGCAGCTACAGAAGATTTCTTTAGATTGATGGTCAAGTCTCTATTCTCAAGAAAAGGGCTCCACTTGTGGGGCATTTACCGTACAGGACTGTTCAGGAAGCCTAAGGATTTTGTAGCTAATAGTGATTTCACACCACTAGGTGTCCCTGGTGTACAACTCCCACATCCGACTGAGTTGGGAAAAGTGTCTGTTAAAGTCACTATCTTTATAAAGTCTGAGGGCGTGTGCACAGCCTGGTCTACCAGCCAGGTTCTGAGACTAATAACTGCCCCTGCTATTTCTCTCCCTTGAGTTGGGGGAGCCACTCATACTGGGGAAATGATGGAAGTCTGGCTAATTGGTGCTCAGGAAAACCAGTCTGAGCCTTAGAAACTCACTTCATGGTTATTGATCTCAAGGCAGTGCCAGTTGGTTTCAGTGCTGAAGGTTCCACAGGGCCAAATCAACCCCTGGTTGTGGCACAAAAGAATGGTCTCATGCCAGTGGCATTGGACTGCTGAGTTTGGGAAGGCTTGGGGCTTTCACACAGACTGAGAATGATATGGACCCCTCCTGGGTCCACTAATTACAAAAAAAGTCTATCTCGTGCCAAAAATGGTCTCCTGACAAGGGTCGTCCTCTCTTCCTGCTCTCTCGCTGGTTTAGGGGGACGGACTAGAAAACTTGAGTTCTAAAGGCAGGGGTCAGAGGATCACCTGAGGGGCCACCCCTGCCCAATAGACATACTGTTGTCCATAAGAGCAGAGGGTCTTGGACCCTTTGTGTGCAGGCACTTCCTGTGCTCCCAGAGCATTTCAATCATCCCATTTAACCTTTATATAGCAGGTACACAGTAGATGGTATTCCCATTCTATCAGTGAAGAAGAGAGTTCAGAGACTACATCCAACGTCTGCAGGAAGAAAAAAAGATCTGCTTGAGCCCAGTAGTATTGACAAAAAGTTGAACTCCAGCTCCTTTTTGTCTCCTGTGGTTTTGGCCAAAGAACTAGCTTCAGTCTGAAAAGGTCAGGGCTAACCGGTTAGAAGGAGTTGAAGTTCAAGATAAGATAAACAAGGGAATAAGAGTGCTGAGCTGCTCTAAAATTCTCCAGGTTTCCTGACCCTGGTGAGTAACAGCTAGCATACCAACGGCTTTCCCAAGACTATTGAGCTCTTAGTGGAAGGAACTGAAAGGAAAATGGAGGAAATACCAGAAGACAAAAGGAGATAGAAGTCCAAGAACCGAAGGAAACTAGTTTCCACAAGTCCGCACCAGGTGTGTGATAATTGGTCAGGGACTAGGAACTGATAGCTGACGAAAGCCAATAAATAGGAATGTTGTGATCCCTGGGGTATAATAGATGTTATGAATTCAGAACAAATGGTGCCAAACTAGCCTCCTAGTCTGATTTTCTTAACAGATTAGATAAAATCTGGACATGGTAACATCAAAGCATTAGGGAGATAGAGAAGTTGGTCACTGGCCACCAACTCTCAGACTACAAATTGGCCTATTGTGGAATGGCTTATGCTGTGCCCCAGGGCTCTGTCCTTGGCCCCTCCTTTGATATTAATGACAGATGAGGGAGTTTTTTTTAATGCCTTACCCATTCCAAAAGGATCTGAGGCCATTTATAAGAGAAACCCTACTAGATAGGAGAGATGCTGATCAGATTTTTAGATAACAGGAACCCCTGGGAAGGATGACAACTTAGGATCCAAACAAACAATGTCCATAAGCTGTAAAAATGGGCAGAATTTAAAGGTAAGATTGTTTCAAAACCCAGATTGATGAGTATGAAGAAAGTTAAGGATTGCAGAGTGCTGTGCTCTTAACAATTCTGCGTGCAAGTAATAAGTGTTTATGATGAACTGTTAACGTGTCTTCACTAAACTCCAGTGTAGTCCTGGCTGGGGTAGTAGAAACAGGTTGTGTAAGATCATTTCAGCCTTCTGTGCCTGTCGGCAATCCTAGAGTGCTGTGTTCCGTTACGGTGCTCAAGCAAGAGGCTCCCTGACCGACGGCGAGCCCAGCTGCAAGAGGAGAACCGAGAACTGGAGGGCCTAAGCTGCATCAAGGGGAAGAAACGTGAAGGAGCTGAGAAGACTCAGGGAACACAGGACACTGCTTTGGAACATGAAAGGGTTGTCCAGTGAAAGATACACTTCTCACCCCAGCCAGGCAGACCTGTGGTCAATGAGTAGTTAATAAACTCCAAGCCAAATTCTGGCTATTATATGTTTATTCTGTTCAGCAAATACTAAATTTCTCTTACACGCAAGGCCAGTGCTAGACGCCGGAGAGGCTTGGCCCCTTCCCTCCAGAAGCTAGTCTCGTAGCGGGGGCAAAAGTAGTGCAACAAATGTGGGGAGTACCGTGAGAGGAAGAAGTACTGTGGTCAATCCCTGGTACCCAAAAAAAAGGAAATGGTCAATGGTAAGTGGGAGAAGTCAGAGTTGCATGGAGAAGGTGACCCTTGACCTGCAAGGCGGCTAACAACTGCTGAGGTTTCAGGAGCACTCACAAAATGCCAGTGACTGTTCCAAAGTGTTGGATTATCTCGTGTAGACCATCTAATAACTTTACAAAGTGCACAATTCTGTTTACCCCATCTACAGACTGATGGAACCAAGGCACAGAGATATTAAATGTTACCTGTCGAAAGTCACATAGTAAAGTGTGTGATTCTGATCCAAGTGGATTTCACTTTTTGCCAGTTCTCTGTCTTGCCCCCCACCCCCCATGCATTTGCCAGGCAGATGAGGGTGGGGTAGGCACTCCAGAGAAAAGAAAAGGTCCTTGATGGAACAGGATTGCATTTTCACAGCTTACATGAAGGTTAAAAGTATTGGAATTTATAGTTCACAGGGCTCTTGGCCAGAAGTAAGCAGGAAGGACAAGTGAGAGCCAGACAGTGAAGGATCCTGTCGGTCTTTTTTCAGGGAATGGGGGACCACTCAAGAATTTTAGGCAGAGCAGTGACATGATCAGGTTTGCATTTTATTTATTTTTTTAATGTTTATTTTTGAGAGAGAGAGAGAGAGCACAAGCTGTAGAGGGGCAGAGAGAGGGAGACAACAGAATCTGAAGCAGGCTCCAGGCTCCGAGCTGTCAGCACAGAGCTCAATGCAGGGCTTGAACTTGTGAACCTTGAGATCATGACGTGAGCCCAAGTTGGGATTCTCAACCAACTGAGCCACGCAGGTGCCTCCAGGTTTGCATTTTAGAAAGAATACTGATGTCTGTCCAGACAGGACTAGAAAGGAAGGCTAGAGGCAGAAGTGCAGTGAGAGAACCAAGAACCTGGACTGGGCGGTAACCGGAGGGGTTGGGGTGTAAGAAGTCAGACAGTGAGAAGTTGACAAGGGTGGGTCTAAAGGACCGGATGGTGGATAGAGATAGGTCTTCCAAAAATGACAGCTGACATGGGTTAACTAGACCTGCACCACACTTTGTCAGGATTTGGGTAGCAAAGAAACCAAAAGTAATTGTTAATAAAATTCCACCATTTGTGAATTATTTACCTTTTTCTGATGGATTGGTACAAGTTTAACAATCTAACAAGGACTCTCACATTCTTTTTTTCTTCTTGGGGGGGTGGTTTTTGTTTTGAGTAGGTGAAAAAGGGGTGGCATCAGCTGTCTTCCTAAAATTGCTAATTACCCTGGGTCTGTTAGACTTGTATGGTACACATGATTTTATAGCAGATGTGCCGCAGGAAGAACGATGAGGAAGCGCTGGGCCGACTAGAAGGTCTAGGAAGTCCCTTCAAGTCTTAAGTTGGTCTGACTTGGCATGATTCCATAGCTAGAAAGTGAAGGAGCTGGGGTAAATGACATCCCCTGGGATCCTAGGTTCCCATATTTGTGAAGTGGAAAATACTCGCCTCAGAGTTGTAGTTAGAATTCAAGATGTCTTAATTGAAGCACTTCAAATGGAAGAGCGTGCCTCTTTCCTCCGAGTCTCCCCCACCCTCCGGTAGCTGGGAGCTATGTTTGGCTCAGTCTCCCTGACTCACTGGATTAGAATGACTCAATTCAGTTCCACAGATGCTGCTGCTAAATTAGGGTCTCCGTGAGCCTTTGGGAGGACAGCTCCGTGAGAAGTGCCGCAGCACCGCCATCCTGCCCAGGAACGGGATCGAAACAGGTGGTGGCTACAGCCCTGCCTTCCACCTGCTACCATGTTTCTGTGATGATCTGTGTGATCAGTGTATTTGTTTGTTTTCACTAGACTTTGTCCCTCTACCTATTCCAAGAACATAGCCAAATTCTTTGCATCTTCTTGCCTTAGTTGCTTTTGCAGGGTGGAAAGCAGAGCTGCTTGAGGATAGCCATGCTTCTGGATCCTCTGGTAAAAGCTTGAGTGAACTGAGACAAGGCCCAGGGTCGTGAAGGAAGAAAGAAAAGGAGAGGGGCGCCAGAAAATGAGAAGGAACAGAAGTCCGTGGGGCCTGAGTGGTGAGGACCTTTATCTGATCCTGGCAGAGCACTTGGGGACAGAAGAACTTCCTAAGGGAAGGGCTGCCTGCAGTTCCCGGGGAGGCTGGATACCGGGCACCAGGCCTCGCTGGAACAGTTCCTGGGCCTGCAGCATATCGGCCAGGATGGTTGTGCTTGCAGGCCCCTGGCTGACAGACAACAAGGCCTGCAGGGTTCACCCCCAGGACTGTACCTTGTGTGAGATCCCAGGACCTTTTCATGATCCTGTAAGGGGGAGCAAACCATAATGACGACAGACAATTCCCCCACCAGCTGTGAGGATAGAGACTCCATCTGATCTAACTGGATTAAAAGAGAATAAATGTGGCACTTCTTCCACACCAGGTTTGGGGATTACAAATTCATACCTGATCGCACATCCCTCACTGGCTTGGCTCCCTTGCCTCATTCCTGACTCACAGAGGTTCACTAGCAAGAGCACAGAACTACATGTGGAGGCAAGAGGCTTGGGTTCCTGCCCAAACTCTGCTAGTGAACTATTACGCGACCCTGAGTAAATTCTTTTTCCATTGAACAGGGAGAGCGAGAGAATGGGCCAGAGCACCACTGCCAGATGACCTGGGGATTCTCCCGCGTTTGAGCCATAGTCCATTTACAAATGAGGAAACCAAGCCCAGAGGAGTTAGGTGGTCTCTCCAAGTTTGCAGAGCCAGCAAGTGGCAGGGCAGGACTCGTGCTCTGGCTAGGGGCTCAGGGCGTGCATTCCAGAGCCAGACTGCTTGGTTTGAATCCTGGCTCTGCCATCTACCAGTGGGCAAACTACCTAAATTATCTGTGCCTCCGCTTTCTCATCCACATAATAGGTATAATAGTAGTTTTCTGCTTCATGAAGTCATTTTGAGGATTAAAGTCAACACAATACAAGGGACCATGGAGTGCTGCCTCATAGCAAGTAGTAATTTCCGCCATTAGTCTAATTCCAAGCCTAAAGCAACTCTCACTACCCAGACTTGTCCTTGCAGAAGACAGGCCAACAAAGGCCCTGTACCTCTGTTGGTCCAGCAATATCCACCGGTGCAGATGATTAACAAGGCAAGGCTGAAAACAGAGACCCCAGGGTGACCCTCCAGCTGAGGCCTATGTCCCCAAACCCTTCCCAGGAGAGGGAGCGAGGATAAACAAAAGAGCTGTAAACAGAAACTTCTTCCTTCCTTACCCTCAGATCCCAAAATAACACTTGTCTGCCCCCACCCTGCCCAGCTGGCAGAGGTACAGTCTGAGTAAAGTGCCATTTAAAGATAACCTGGCCCTCCCCGTCTGCCCCACTGGCTGGGCTGGCCTCCTGAGGCTGGGCACCAGCTGCCTGGGACTGCTAATGCTTCCACAGCCCCCCAGGGCAGGCTGCTCCAAAGATACCACCCGAGCCAGCCCAGCTAACCCCTCCTTTCCTGAAGCCCAGGGCTGCGGAAGTTCTGCCCAGGCTGACCCGGGCCTCTGCAAAGCAGCAGAAGCCAGGGGGAGGTAATCCTGCAAAGGCATTGCTAAAACTCCTCTAAGGAAGAGTGCTCCTTCCTACCAGTAGCCGGGCCAGCAGTAAGGCTGATCCCTACCGACTTTCACCCACTCCCAGACCCCTCCCACCGAGAGGGCAGAGTCACAGTCTTTCATCTGCAGTGAGAAAAGTTTAAAGCTAGACACCAGGGAAGACCTTATGTTGCAGGAGAGATGTTTGTTTATTTGGGGACAGCGGGAGCCAAGAGATCTGGTTCCTGTAGTCCCCAGCTAAGCCATGAGACCTTGGCCAAGTTTCTCCTGGGCCTTGCTCCCCCACCAGCTCTGGGTTGCAAGGAAGAATCAGTGTGTCTGTGACACCCTGAAGTAGGGTGTAATGAGATTAAATCAAAATGAAGAAAGGGCTCAGGGTCCTTGGGAAGAAGGAATTACTGCAGGAGGTGACTGTGCCACAGGACAGCTGGGAAGAGGACTGGAGAAAGCACGGCCGCCTCCTGAGGAAAGCACTAGACCAGCCGGAGGCAAGTAGGGGAGAGGAAGGGAGCTCCCCTTAACTCACAGAGGCTCAAAATCCCCCTAGGGCAGAGAGCTGGGTGTGGCGGGAGCCTCTGGAACGGAGGCTCCAAGACCCTGGTTCCGGGAAGGCAGGAAGACCCCAGGAGAGCACAGGCGGGCCTACCCGGTCACCTCCGATTTGAAGAGGAGCAAGAAGGGGGTTGGGCGGAGCCCTGCACTGGTCATTCAGCACAGCAGTGAGATGACTCAGCAACCCCCGGGTACCACAGCCCCAGGCGAAGCCCAAACTGGGTCACAGGCATGGTCCTAGCCCCTCCTCTCCGCCAGCCTGCCAGGCTTCCACCGCCCTTCCCCACTCTAAATATCCCACTACCTTCCCACACAGACTCCTGCTGGGGACGAGGGCCGGGTATCATCGGTTCCCCAAGTACGCATGCTCCATTTGCCAAGCATAGCACCGAGCATTTTAGACACGACACAGGAGAGGCAAGCGGTGGGGTGAAAGGGCCTGGACTTTGAAGTCCCAGAAGCCAACCTTCAAATCCCAGCCGTGTAAGCCAGGGAAATTCACGTCCAGCCTCTGTACAATGGACAAACTCATTTGCGGTGTTAGCCGTCAGTAGTATTATCATGTTCCAGGCACCCTAGGGAGAGCCTGCTACCAGCAAAGTTCATATTTTGTCTCATCGCACATTAATTACTGTCTGCCTCTCCTATTCCAGGAAAGTGCCTCTGCCCCTCACTGGGGCCCGGGAGACTGGCTTGGTGAGGGGAAGAGGCTCCTGTGTGCCCTGAGTAAGAGGAGGTACAATGAAGGCCCTTCACGCCTGGAGATTTGGACAAGCCCTTTCTCAGGGCCCCCAGTCCCTCCCCGGCGCTCCCACCCGGCCTCTTCCCATCCCCCGCCCAGTTCCATGGGCTCTGGCAGGACCCGGGTCCACACGGCAACACAGCGAGCCTCGGCCCTCCATCTCCAGGCTCCCCCAGCGCTGTCAGTTCTGCTCGCTGGCCCCTGCCCACAGCCCCTTCCCCATCCTCTGTCCCACTGTCAACACTCCCACTCTGTGGACTGAGAAGTTTTCCTGGCATTTTACAGTTAGGAAAATCACTGATGGCGCTGCGAGAGTTAGGTGTCATGGCCAGCTGGAAGCATCAACCAGGTTGAGATTGGAGGGCTAGTGGGAGGAATAAAGGAGAAAAAAAAAGCAGGAAGTGCTAGAAAAGGATGAATTTGGGGAGGCATGTGGTTTCGCTTTGCTTGGTTTTGTTTTGTTTTGTTTTACTTGGACAGACCTGAGATTTTGTTTTGCTCTGGGGAAAGAAGATGATTAGAAAGGAGAAACTGGGGTGCCTGGGTGGTTCACAGTTGGTTAAGTGTCCGACTTCAGCTCCGGGTCATGATCTCGCAGTTCATGGGTTCAAGCCCCACATCAGGCTCTGTGCTGACAGCTCAGAGCCTGGAGCCTGCTTTGGATTCTGTGTCTCCCTCTCTGTTCCTCTCCGGCTCACACTGTCTCTCTCTCTCAAAATAAATAAATAAATAAATAAATAAAGCATTAAAAAAATTCTTTAAGACAGGAGAAACTAAGGACACTGAAGAGACAAGATAATGCTGAGAGAGAGAGCAGATGGGGTCTAGGAGTACACATGGAAGGATCAGCCTTGGCCCAGGAGGTGAGACAACCCTTCCTCTGAGAGTCCTTCAACCAACAACGATCACCTAGGGCCAGGGCTGGGTGACAGCAGTGAACACAATGGCCACATGGCCCAGCATTCCTGGAGCTCGTGCACTAGGAAAGAAGACATGGAGGGGAATGGGACACTGTGTAGGGGGTGGTGAAGTGAGAGATGTCTCTCTTCGTCCCTCTGCCACTGGGTTTATCACTGTCCTGCACAGGTGCATATATTTGCTTGCTCCCCACCCCATCAGACTGCCAGCAACTTGCTGGGGCAGGAGCCAATGGTCTCCTTACTCCAGCTTGGGCTGGGTTGCCAGCAACCACAGGGGCCCAGGGCAGGGCAGTTCCGCTTCTGGCTGCCCTCCCCTAACTTGTTTAGATTCTGCTGGGCCATCCATTCCCTCCCTCACCTCAGGACACCCTCTGCTGTTGGGGAGAAGGGTCTACCTGGATTTAGAAGGCATGGGTTCTGCATTGCCTCTGCCATTTCCTGGCTGTATTACCTTGGGCAAGTCCTTCAACTCCCGTTAAGTCCTAGTTTCTCAATCTGTAAAATGGGATCAGTGATAACACCCGTCAACTTTGCTGAGCTCACGAAATCATGGAGAGCCTCAAATGAGGTTAAATGTCAAAGTGCTTTGTGAAGAACTGTACCACGGACAGAGGTCGAGGTAGGCTTTTGATTTTCTCCTTGGAGTGATAGGTAGTTCTGGTCAGTGTACCCCAGGTAGTAGGGGGCACAGTCACTGACCCTATAAATTTGTAAGGGGATTGATTGGCTCTCCCTCCCCAACCCTCCCCCCCAAACACTGTCCCCACTGTAATTAACTCTTGCTCTCCCTATGCTCTCCTAGCCATGCAGTACTTCCTGCAGGATTGCTTTGTGAAGAAGTTTTCACTGTGAAGGGTGTCTAGCTGCATGGCTCCAGGTAGCCCCAGCAGCCTGTCATCCCGACTGATGAGGCCATAGGCTGGTGCATGCCAGCGCTGTCCACTCAGAGGGGGAAGGGTCCATCTCAGGGAGCCAGTGCAGCTGGCAGAGTCCAGGTCTGTGGGCACTGCGGGGACAAAGCGGCTCTGAGCTGCCTCTCAATGGGTGCCTATGTTCTGGAATTGGGGGCGGGGTGCTCTCAGCCTCTTTTCCCTCTTCTCCAGCCCCCCCTCCCTCCCCGCAGGACGTCCTGGGCTGGACAATGGGGCAGAGGAGGTCCTGCCCCTCTAGGGTTGGCCCATGTGCCTGGGTACTCGGAGATGGCACCAGGATCGGGGCTTCTGGGGTCCGGGATACTGATTGAGCCCAGGCGAGGGGCGGGCCCAGGACACGGAGAGGCCTTCCTGGCCGCAGTGTCCAGCGGCCCGCTGTGGCCACGGTGGCTCGGGCGGGAGGAGCCACCGTGGGGCTGGGGGCGGGGGCGCGGGGCAGTACCGGGCTGGGTGAGGGGCACCCAGCTCCGCGCCTGGGCTGGGTGGGCGTCGCCGGTGGGTGGCCCCCTGGGCCGGGCGCGGAGCGCAGGGGGGGTGGGGGGGGACAGTGTTACCGCGGCCCGGGCCTTAGTCCCGCCCTCGCAGGAGGCGGGAGAGGAAAGCGAGCCTGGCGGCGGGTTGGGCCCCGCAGCAGCTCCCGCCGGCCGGCTTCGTCCTGCGCTCCCTGCTCCAGGCGGCCGCGCCCAGCCCCCGCCATGCGGCCCCGGGGGCTCTGCGGGGCCGCGCCGCTGGCTGCGGCCGCCCTCCTGGTGCTGGGGGCTCCCCTGGGTAAGGGGGTGGGCGGCGGGGTGGGCGCGGGGGCTCCCCTGGGTGCCGATGCGCTGGGAGCGGGAGGAGACACGGCCAGGAGGCTGGGCCATGGGCAGCTGACCCGGAGCGCGGGGTCAGCTCCGTAGAGAGGCCGCTGGGGCTCAGAGGCGGAGCGCCTCAGGGTGGCGACCAGGGGCAGCTCCCGCGTCCCGGGAGCCGGGAGCCGGAGGGCTGGGAGCCTCGGGGAGCGGGGCTAAGGGCGGACGGAAAGCCGGCCTGGTGGCCATGCCCCCCCCCCCCCACACCTGCCCGCAGCGCTGGCCGGCGAGGACTGCCTGTGGTACCTGGACCGGAATGGCTCCTGGCATCCAGGCTTTAACTGCGAGTTCACCTTCTGCTGCGGGACCTGCTACCATCGGTACTGCTGCAGAGACCTGACCTTGCTCATCACCGAGAGGCAGCAGAAACACTGCCTGGCGTTCAGGTGGGCTCCCGCCTCCACCCGCGTCCCCTCCACCCTCCTCTCAGGAGCCCTGCCTGGGCCTCCCCTGCTCCCCGTCTGCCTCCTGCCCCTCTCCACGTCCACCTCCACAGCCTTTAGCCCAAGCCCAGGGCTCAGCTTGGGGACAAAGCTGGGTGTTAGTGCTGGGGCCTGGGAGGTCCGGGAAAGGCACCTTAGTAACCCTCTCGGGCTTGGTGGAGGGTGTGTACACGGTCAGCACCCAGACCGGGGTGTGGCTTTGTGGAAGAAGCCCTGGCAAGAAGGCAGGAGACTTGGGTTTAATTCCCAGGTCCAGCTCTCAGACGTGTACTCCTGGGGAAGGCTCATCCTCTCATGGGTCATAATTCCTCTTCATAAAATGAGGGGGTTGCCAAAATTAGTGGTTTTCAAACTTCTTGAAAGGGACTGCTAATGTACAAAAGGTGTAAGGAGACTGTGATTGGGGGAGGGGTTATTGAAAACAAGGGGCTCTAGATTATTTCTAAGGTGCCTTTCAGCACTAACATGTTCCAAGCCTAACCAATTGAGTTGTAGATGTAGGAGTGATGAAGTGGGGTGCACACTACAACTCCCGGCATGCCTCACACTAGCCAGCCAGGCAGCATGGCCTTCTGGGAAATGGAGGTCCCCTAAGATCTCCTCCACAGGGACTGGGCGAGCCCCTCAAGGAACCCCAAGTCTCAGCTTGCTGTGGCCCCCTGCTGGCCAGGAGTTGGAGCACAGTTTTATGGTCACCATAATGAGGACTCCCTCCTATGAGTGTTGGAAGGTGAGGGGACCTGTTCTTTGTCTCAAGTCCCAAGACCATAGCAGGCATCGCCTCCGCCGTGATCCTCTTCGTGGCTGTGGTTGCCACCACCATCTGCTGCTTCCTCTGTTCCTGCTGCTACCTGTACCGCCGGCGTCAACATCTGCAGAGCCCGTTTGAAGGTATGTACAGCACTGGGCAAGATGAACCTGAGATAGGCTGAGTCGAGCTGAGCCCCACGATGGGCCCCGAAGAGTTCATGGATGTGTGAATTATGTAGTAGTGTGTGCTTTTGTATACACTGACCCACCAGCGGGTAACCCCCAAAATAAGAATGTGCCAGGGCCGTGTATGTGAACATCGGACTACGTGTACACGTACCTGCATGCGTGTGAGAATCAGATGTGCGCGGCATGCCGTCTGTCAGCAGTGGTGTGTGTGCAGTGGGTACATGCATGCATATGACTCTCGGGAAATACAGGAGGTGGGGTCTGTCTATGGCGGTGAACATTCGCTGGGTGTGCACCAGTGTACAATGGAACGTGTGCCTGAGCGCTGGCACAGGACTGCATATCCGCCCCCGCCTGGTGGACAGGGGAATGGTGACCCCGTGTGGGAGATCGGTGTGGGAGGGAGAGCCTGGGGGAGGACCCCCTTGGTGGCAGTTCTGTTAGATTACAAGACACCAGCCCTGGGAGCTGCCCCCTCCTTGCCAAAGTGGGACATTCCCCAGGCTGTGTTCTCTGGCTCATGAGGCTTCGGAAACCTGCTGAGGGGAGCAAACCCGCAAAACACAGACTGACCCGCTGGGACCACGTGCACAGCTCCCTGTTCAACTCTGCCAAGCAATGTCTGGGAGGCAAAGGCAGCAGGTGGCCAGCCTGGAGCCTACCAGAACGCAGAGCAGGGGCCCAGGGGTGCGTGCTTACCTTGGTTTCCTGGGCAGGAGGAGGAGGCTTCCTCCCATGGAGGTGGAGCTCTGAATGCGGATCCTTGTCCCCCACCTAGGCCAGGAGATTCCAATGACAGGCATCCCAGTGCAGCCAGTGTACCCATACCCCCAGGACCCCAAAGCTGGCCCCGCACCCCCACAGCCTGGCTACATGTACCCTCCTAGTGGTCCTCCCCAGTATCCACTCTACCCGGCTGGGCCCCCTATCTACAACCCTGCAGGTAAGTGAGCAGTCCGGAGCCACTTGCTCCTCCTGCCTGCCCCCTGCCCCTGTGCTGGGACCTCCCCTGCCGCTGTCTTCCCCTCAGTCCCTCTCCTGGACGTGTACCTCAGCTGGAAACATCCAGGCTACCTCTTCTGCATGGATCCTTCATGTCTCTGGGATTTGGGGGTCACTTCACATCCCCCTGTGCCACCCCTGACCCTCATCCTGTCTCCTTGACTTTCAGCTCCTCCCCCCTATATGCCGCCACAGCCCTCCTACCCAGGAGCCTGAGGACCCAGCTGTGTCTCTGCTGCCCCTTCAGTGATGCCTCTCCCCTGTATCTGCATCTGGCCCTGGGGGTGGACAGGGGGCCTCTACTCACCAGGCCCCAGAAAAAGCCAAGCCCTGGGTCCTACTGTTATGGAGCCCCAGGGAAGTAGACCAGGAGCTGAGCTGGAACTTGGCCATGAACGAGGGGTGGGTGGGGAGGGCTTCCAATCGGGGGGATTATTTTTTACCTGGGGCAAGAGAAGGACATGAAAGCCTGGGTCAAAGCCCCTGCTTTCTCAGAGTCCCTCTACTCTCAGGATCCCAGCCAGGAAGGCTGGGGCCTGTCCTGTTTGCTCACTGTGGGCTGGGGCGCGGTGGGGAGTGGGCTCCATCAGCAGTGGGCAGAAGCCCTGCTCCTGGCTGCCCCCTGGTCAGGGCTCCAACCTGCTGGATTAAAGCTGTAAAGCTGTAACTCATGTCGGTTTGCCTCACTGGGCCCATCCATGCCTTCCAGCTCTGCCTTCAGCTGGGCCCTAGTGCTGCTAGTACCACATCCTCCAAGCAGCGGGACGGGGTGCAGGTGCCTGGGCTGGAGCCCAGCACCACCCTTACCCCGCTTCCACAGCAGAACCACCCCAGGCTAAGGGCTCCTTGAGCCAGTTCCCAAGCCAGTGAGATGGATCTTGCCACAGTGGGGAAGGGACAAGGGTGATCATTTGCATCACAGAGATTCCCCATTAGGAGTCAGGAGCCTGTGACCTATAAGGCACTGCAGGCAGGCGCCTTCCCCAGTTTCCAGTACTCAGCTTCCTTTGTGGGTCCTGCCACTGGCTGACCTTGGGTCTGTCTCTGAAGGTCTCCAAGTCCCAGTTTTCTCAGCTATTCAATGGGGATAATGCCTCAGGGCTGCCATGAGGGTAAAATGTGTGCATGAAACTGACCCCGGTCCAGTCCTTCCTGGTCGGAGAGGTTCTAGGACCAGAAGCCAGGTGGAGAGGCTGGGCTACCCAAGAGGCTGGTTTCTGTCAGCTGCCGTGGACCATCAGGGGACCCTAAAACATTACGTCCCCCACTGAGCCAGGCAGACGCCCCCACCCATGGAGATGCGTATGCATCTAGATAGATCCTTGTCCCTTGCCTTGTTCCCGGAGGACTCGATCCTTGTGCTCTCAGGACTTGTCTGGTGACAGATCCAGGGAAAGAAGTTTTACAGTTTTTAATTCAAATGGGAAAAGTCCCAGCTCAGGTTGGCACCACCACCACCAACCAACCAGCTCCTTTCCCCCAACACCCATATGCTCAGCCCCCCTCCTTCTCTCACCCTCCAAGGTCCTCCAGCCCTGCAACCTTGCCTTCCAGCTGGGTTCCGCATATGGCCATTGTGCTAACCCTGCCCTCTGGCGCCCATATAATGTCACGAAGCCTCTTGTCACCCAGGATGGGGGTGGGGAGCTCCTGGGCCTGCATCAGAAACAACTTGGAGAGAGCTCTGTCCATGGATTTACAATCTCCTCCCTTCCCAGTGAAATCTTCAGGGGGGTCCAAGAGTCTGCCCCAGGAACTGACCAAGACAGAAAAGAGAAAGCTAATGCTGGTGGGGACAGAGCTGGGACCACAGCTCAAATTCACTCTCTCTGAGTAGGGGGGAAAGAGGTGGGAGCTGGGGTCACAGAGTATCCTGGCTTCCAGGCTGCAAATTCTGCCTTCACACCTTAGAAGAGAGGGTCATCAGGGTTTGAAATGCAATCTCCTCTCAATGTCTCTCTCTCTCTCTCTCTCTCCCCCCTCCCTCCCTCCCAACTTCTCTCTCCTGGAGCTGAGAGGTGGAGGAAATTGGCAGGACAGGGTTTCTGAGTTTCCCTAAGAAAAGAGGTGTAAATGAATGCACAGCCATGCCAGTCAGAATTAATTATCCTCAAATCCACAATCTGGGGCCAATTAAAAATTGCTTTGTCTGGGGTGGAAGGCAGTTTTATCCCAGGCATAGCTGCCTCCCAGAAGGGTGGAATCTCCCCTCCGCAACATTTCCAGTCAATTAACTGCACAGCACTGAGGATTCTAAGGAAAGGGGATAACTATGGCAGAATGGGGCTTTCACATGCCCTGAGCAGAGAGGAGGCCCCTGTCACATTCTCTAGTTCTGTAAATAGGGAACCCCTGACACCTCTCCCAGAGCTCTACATGTATGACTCCATCTCATCTGCATCCCCAGGGGCACGGGGCCAGCAGGAGCACCGAGCTGCCCCTCCCATCGCTTTGTTTAGCAGCCAACACCCCTGGAAACCAGGCAGACACCCTACAAGGGGAGCAAGATACGGGCTGGGGTCTCCAACGGTGTAAATGGGGTCCTGCTGGGCTGCGAGGGCACACCGAGGACCCTTAGGGGAGGTCTGGGACCACAGATGGAGAGGAGCACTCTACACACAAGCCAGGGCACCTCTTTCTTGGATACCTGTTCAGGCAGGGGAGAAGGGAGGCTGAACTCAAACAGGGAAGGCAGCAGGGGTTCAGATGCAGGGAGACAACTAGGGCAGAGGTGAATAATTCAATGGGGGCCTGAGGAAAGAAAGGTTAGCAAGAAAGGGGAGCACGATGGGGGGAGAGGTATAGAATGGAGGCAGCTAGGAAAATGGGCACCTCAGGCAAGGAGTGAGGGAGGGTCGGTGAGATAAAGAAGAGGGGTTAAAGGCCTAGAGAAGGTGCATGGCCCAGCCAGAGCAGGTAGAGCACAGGACGAGGGTCGAGTGGGGGGGGGGCCTCACCAGGCCTGGACTCCCAGGTCAGCAGATTGCCCCCCATACCACAGGTGGCACTATTCCCTAGCTGGGCCTCAGGCCTTGAGACCAGTCTGCAGAGGAGTGGGGAGCTGCGGGTGGGCGCCACGGGGTAGGCAGCACATGGCACTCCAGGCTTGGTGATCATGGGGTCCAGAAGCCACACAAGGTGGGTGACCCGTGTCCAGATCCAATGCTTCTTAAAGAAGCCTGGATGAGTGGGCCATGGTCCCAACTCACCGCGCCTGGGGCTGGAGCCCCTCGCTCACCAGCTTGGGGAGCTCCTGTGATGGAGAGTGGGGTATCTCAGCAGCCCCCAGGCCCCGCCATCCCACTCACGGCCAGCGCCAGGGGCTGGGTCCGAGACCTGCGGGGGCGGGGGCGGGGGGGTGGGAAGACGGTGCCACCGTGGGTGTGGGCGGGCCCAGTGGCCGGAGCCGGAAGCGAAGACGCCCTCGATTGCCTGGCGGGAGACACAGGATGTGGCCCCTGGTAACGATGGGGCCAGCGGGGTGAGGCGGCGCGGAGGACATGTGGAGGGAAGCCCCGTGGCCCAGGTGGGTAGAGTGGACCCGGCGGCAAGAGATGTGGGTTCGAATATGGGTGCATCACCTTGTTCGAGTCATTTGCTGCCTTTGACTCTCATTTTCTTCCCTGTAAAAGGCGGGCGAGGGACGGGGATAGATCCTGTCCCGCTCTTGCGTCCTATGTTTCATGAAGGGAAACCTAGCAGACGGGAGCCAGCGGAGGCGGATGGGGCAGGTGGGCGGCGGTGGGTGCACGATTCGGCAGAAACGCGGCCCCCAGAGAACGGCCGGTTTCCATATTCAGCCCCTCCACGAGCACACATGGCCGCTCGGTGCCAGGCGCTCCCCCTGCCCCTCCCTGGCGGGGGGAAGGCGTCCCCGCAGACCGGGCGCTGCGTCCCATCTACCCACCTTCCCTGCCCTCTAGCGCAGCTCGGGCGCGCCCCTGGCGCAGCGGGAGAACCCGGGACGCGGCCTGCCGGCAGGTGGCGCTGCGCCCCCGCATCTGGTTCTAAGGCACCAGAGGAAGAATGACCTCACCAGCCTCGGCTCTACCCACCCAGCCCAGAGCCGAGGAGAGCGGAGGAAGAGAGCGGCGCTAACCCCTTGTTGTGTGTGGACAGAAAGTGGGTGGGTGGATGGGTGCGTGCGTGCGTGCGTGCGTGTGTGTGTGTGTGTGTTTTAGTCTGGCTAAATCTTGTTTTAAGTTTGGTAGAAAGGTCTTCCTAAGGTGACAGTTTCTTTCGGAACCTTAAGATTTGGAGATGTGTCGTTTCGGTCTGGTTAGGCTTTCAGTGCTTTCCTGGGGCACCACGACAAGTCTCATTTCAGTAAGGGGACGAGGGGGACCTGTTATCAGAAGTAGCTCTAGGAGCTGGAAATGGACCTGAGCTCGCTTTTTATTAGCTGTGTGACCATGGACCTGTAAGTTAACCTCTCTGGACTGAACTTATCTGCAAAATGGAGATAATATTGGTATCCCCCTCACAGAATTGAAAGAGCACCTGAAGCATCTTGCCAAGGCCTAGCAACCACAGACGCAGCGTGAATGGAAGGCCTGGCTGCACTTAGCTCCAGTGAACACCCTTTGAGGTCCAGGAGGCAGCAGGTGTCTGTCTCCCCTCTCCTGGGTGCAGCCCTTGTTTCCCTTGTTGGGCCAGACAGTCCAGCATGTGGAGGGGAAGGGGCACAGAGTGTAACCTGGGATCCAAGCTTTTTGCTGCCACGACTAGCCTGCCTCTGTTTTTGGTCAGACCTAGCCCGGCAATCCTCCTTCCTAGCAGGGACGCCCCCTCCTTCCCCCCAAAGACGGTGAAACTGCCATACTCCCTGCTGTTGAGGCACAAGCTGGAGACAGAAAAACTACCAGTGACCTAGACCCAAGGTGGCAGTCCCACAGTGCCAAGGGGTGCTGGCACCTTGAAGTCACTCAAATCAGAAAGATGCTTTTGATGTACACCTGATGGAGGGCATGGGGGCACTGTTAGGTCAGGAGAGCAGCCTGAAGCTAGAGCAGGGGGTAGGGAGATGGGTGACTGGGCACATGGGTGGGGGTGCTGCTCCCCAAATGGTCATTCACTTCTCTGCCTGCTCAGAGATGGCTGCCTTCCTGGGCTTGTGACTGCTATGGGGAGCTGGCCCCAAGCCCGCAGTTAGGAAGAGTCATGGAATGAGCATCCCCTGAACATGCCTAATATAGCCATCCCAGGGCCCTGGGCTCCACTCTGCCCCATCACCCCCGAAAGCAGCTCTGGCCAATGACTCCAGGCAGCAAGAATGGTCAAGAGCAGACCCTGGCTAAGGTCTGGTTTCCTTGGCCTGGTCAACCGGGTCAGTGGGGAGCCCTTTTCTCAGGCCTGAGGCTTTCCCTTGCACTGGACTTTCTGCAGACATGAACTGGATATGTGGTCAACTCGGGATGGCATGGCAGGGAACCTGAGTTTCTAGAGCCTTCCATGGGGCCAGAGTGGGCATCAGCACCCTCGGTACAGTACAGAGCTGGGGCACAGTCATTCATTCACAACTAAAGGCTTGTATATATTATCAAAATCTTATGGAAAAACAGATACACAGCTATTTATACAACAGCAGGTGGGTGTGAGGGAAACGTCTGCTTTGGCATTAAACCTTCAGGACCAGCTGCCATCTGTCCCTCTCCTCCCAGCTGGAACCCACTCCCCACCAGGCACTGTCCGTCCAGGCCGGCTGTCCCTGCCATGTCCTCTCATTAGCCCAGGAGGGGTTTGAGGGTATCCTCAGCCCCTCCCCCCTCTCCCCTTGGGCCCTCATGCCCGCTCCATCTTCGGCCATTACCCCACACAGAGGGCCCCGGGCCCCGCAGCTTTGCCCCAAGGGCTCCTCAGAGGCCTGAATCCTGGCCCTGGAGGGCAGTGGGGCTGGGCTGGTTATGTGGTCCGGGTGGGACGTCTGTCCTGAATCACAGGCCTTTTGCAACTTGCCAGCTGCTTGGGCCCCAGGCATGCCGTCTTCTCAATGACACGCTAAAAGGACTCTTCTTGTCCAGAAACCTCAGTTCCAGGTATGAAAGAAATTTTTGTAGAGCCTCAGAGACAAGAAAAGGAAAGTGAGAAGAGATCAGGCATCCTTCCTTGCGCGTGGCCAGGCCCCGTGCTCTCCCGTGGCGGAGCGGGGACATCCACAGCGGGTGAGCCGGGGTGGGGTGGGCGGGGTCTGTGCGGGCCTGGGAGGCGAGGCCTGGGCAGTCGTGGCATCGGCAGACACTGCCCCCTGGCAGTCTGGTCCTACTGAAGCAGTTTGGGCACCTCCACCTGTCGGGGCAAAGCAGAGAGAGTTTAGAGAAAGGAGCTCAGCAAAGGGGCCTCTGCAGTTCATCTTGTCTCCCCTTCATGCACCTCAGTATATGTCTGTGAAATGAGTAAATGACATGTTGACACAGAGGAAGCATTTTTTTCCTTTTCTGCAAAAGCTGAATGTCATCAAATGACCACGAGAATTACAGCTGAGGTTGTCTTTTATGTCATGGTGTCTAGCCCCCGATGATGTTGTGGGGGTAGGGTTAGCTGCCACCAGCCAGCCAGACCAGCAGGTGACCATGGACTCTGTCACCAAAGGGCGGGGGATAGAGGTTGAGAAGAGGGGTCTGTAGGGATGGCTCTTGTGTCTGTGGCACTGATTAGTCACAGGGAGGTTCCCCTGAGGGCGGCTCTCCCAGACACCTTTGGGATAAACTGATCCGTAGGACTCGGCAGGTCCTGAGAGGGGATTCGTAAAAGGGAGGTCGTTTTTGCTTTGGGAATGGGGGGGAGAGGACATAATGGTAGGGTCATAGGTGGAACTTCTTTGTAGAGGCTCTTTCTCCATTTCTGGGAGAAATTGGTTTAGCTGCAGGGTGGAGGAGTTCGAGGCATGGAGTGAGAGGCTCAAGGAAGCTCCTAGAGGAAGGAGAGAATCCCCTCCCCCCTGCAGGAGACAGGTGTGGCCTGCCCAGAGGCAGGGGGATAGATGGGACGGCCAGAAGCACCCTACGGACAAGAAGTCTGTGTACTGCCTGCAGCTTGCCATGTGCCCCCCACGGGCTCCCCTTGTAGGCTCACCCCCTCCTCCAGCCCTGCTGCCCCCCTGCCCCCCTCCTCCAGCCCTGCTGGCCCTCTCCCTGCCCCCCTCCTCCAGCTCTGCTGGCCCTCCCCCTGCCCCCCTCCTCCAGCCCTGCTGGCCCTCCCCCTGCCCCCCCTTCTCCAGCCCTGCTGACCTCTGCCCACAACTACTTAACTTCTTGAGCTGCTTGAGGTTGCTGGAGCGAATGGCAGCCAGTAGCTGGTCGCGGGAGTTCTCCTCCTGCCCCCCTCCTCCAGCCCTGCTGGCCCTCCCCCTGCCCCCCTCCTTCAGCCCTGCTGGCCCTCCCCCTGCCCCCCTCCTCCAGCCCTGCTGGCTCTCCCCCTGCTCTCCCTTCTCCAGCCCTGCTGACCTCTGCCCACAACTACTTAACTTCTTGAGCTGCTTGAGGTTGCTGGAGCGAATGGCAGCCAGTAGCTGGTCGCGGGAGTTCTCCTCCTGCCCCCCTCCTCCAGCCCTGCTGGCCCTCCCCCTGCCCCCCTCCTTCAGCCCTGCTGGCCCTCCCCCTGCCCCCCTCCTCCAGCCCTGCTGGCTCTCCCCCTGCTCTCCCTTCTCCAGCCCTGCTGACCTCTGCCCACAACTACTTAACTTCTTGAGCTGCTTGAGGTTGCTGGAGCGAATGGCAGCCAGTAGCTGGTCGCGGGAGTTCTCCTCCTGCCCCCCTCCTCCAGCCCTGCTGGCCCTCCCCCTGCCCCCCTCCTTCAGCCCTGCTGGCCCTCCCCCTGCCCCCCTCCTCCAGCCCTGCTGGCTCTCCCCCTGCTCTCCCTTCTCCAGCCCTGCTGACCTCTGCCCACAACTACTTAACTTCTTGAGCTGCTTGAGGTTGCTGGAGCGAATGGCAGCCAGTAGCTGGTCGCGGGAGTTCTTCTCCTGGGTGGGGAGGACTTTGTCTCCCATCTTCCTCTGGGTAGCTGGTGACAAGGAGTTCTTCAGGTTCTCCATGATGAGGGGTGGGGCCAAGGGAGGTGGGGGCGGAGGGGGAGCAGCCGGAGCGCCCCCTTTCTTGGGTGAGTTCTTGGGCGAGGCCTTTGGAGATGGCTGGGGGGAGGTCTTGGGGGAGCCCTTGGCCAGGGCCCCGAACTTGGGCACCTCCAACAGATCCTTCTTCTCGCCACTGGCCTCCTGCGCCTGCCGTTGCTCCTGGAGCCTCTTTTGTCGCTGTTTGTCCATGTTACGGCTGAGCAGGTTGGTGACCGTCATCCGGGGCCCAGCCAGCTCAAAATGGTAGCCCAGCTTGAGCAGGGTGGTGTTCTCCTTGAGCAGCTTGGCAATCTCCATCTCCGTCTTGCCGCCGCAGATGTGCCGCTGGTTGTGGAAGCGGAGTTCAGTCAGCGTGTTGTTCTGGAGGAGGGCCCGGAAGATGGCCAGGATGCCCTTGCCGGTGATGTGGTTAGAGTCCAGGTTCAGGCTGGTGATGGTCTTGTTGGCCTTGAGCATGATGGCGATGGCAAAGGCCACGTGGTCATCGGCGCGCGTGTTGGCCAGGGCAAACACCTTGACCACAGTGTTGAACTCCAGAGCCTCGGTAAACCGGACCAAGATCTCATTCGTGATACAGTCTGAGTTGTTGACATTGACCTCAGTCATCTCTGGGTCATTGTTCTTCACTTTCTCCAGAGGCTCATCAAATATGCTGGGGGCCGCTTCCTCCTCCGCCTTGGCAGGCCCTTCAGAGGGCTTGGTGGGGCCAGCGGGGGCTTGTTTCTCCGGTGCCTGGGTCTTGTTCTCTTCTTTGGGTTCCTTTTTGTTTACGGATTCCTCTTTTTTCACTTTTTCATCCTCCCTTTTTGTGTCTGTGCTCCCACTTCCTCTTTTCACCTTCTCATCCTCCTTCCTGGCATCTGCACTCCTCCTCTCCCCTTTTCCCTTCCCGTCATCCTCTTTCTTACTCATCTCCTTCTCCTCTCTCTTCTTGTCTTTGTCTCTGCTCGGCCCTGTGCTCCTCTCACTGCCTTGCTTCTCCTCTTCCTTCCTTGGGGCTGCTGCCCTCTCCTCTCCCTTCCCTTCCTTCCCTGCCTCCTTCCTGTCCACCGCAGCCCTTACCCGGCCCTTGTCAATGCCCCTGATGAGCTTCTCCTCCTTGGGCTTCTCTCCACTTTTGCCATCAGCTTCATCTTTGTCTCTTGAGAAGCTTTTCTTTAAACCACCCCTCTTTGGCTCCTTCCCCAGGTCTGAGTCCCGTCTGGGGCCCAGGGTTTTTTTGCTGGCATCTCTGCCCCTTTCCTCTCCATTCTTGGCATCTGTCTTGGTCTCCACTTGCTTGTTTTCCTAAAAATTCAGAAAAGAAAAATAAACATGAAGAGCTGGCTACAGAGGGAGAGGAATGAGTATGGGGACAAGTGTGGGGAGCATTTATATAACTGCCCTGGAGCCTCCAAAGGACTATGTCCACTGAGAACACCATGAGGGGGTTTGGGATTCAAGCTGTCACGGTGATTTAGAAGGAATGCTTCCAGGGGTGCCTCTGTGGCTCAGTTGGTTAAATGACCGACTCTTGATTTCAGGTCACGTTATAATCTCAAGGTCATGATCTCACAGTGGTGAGATGAGATGAGATGAGGTGAGATGGAGCCCCGCATTGGGCTTTGCCTGGGTGTTGAGCCTGCTGAAAATTCCCTCTCTCCCTCTCCCTCATCCTTCCCTGACTTATGCAGACATACATTCTCTCTCTCAAAAAAAAAAAAAAACAGAAAGAAAAAGAAGAAGGGATGCCTTTCTAAGCCATGTTGGAACCCAAGGCAAAGGGAAAAATCACTAATACTGGTCCTGTCTTTATTTAAAATTTTGCATTTTTTGGTTGTCGTAGATTTTTTGGCATTAAATTCGATTTTTAAAAATATCGGTTTTCTTGGGACGCCTGGGCGGCTCAATCGGCTAAGTGTCCGGCTTCAGCTCAGGTCATGATCTCATGGTTCATGGTTTCGAGCCCCATGTTGGGCTCTGTGCTGACAGCTAGCTCAGAGCCTGGAGCCTGTTTCAGATTCTGTATCTCCCTCTCTCTCTGACCCTCCCCTGCTCTCTCTCTCTCAGAAATAAAAACATTTTAAAAAATTTTTAAAATATATCAGTTATCTTGATCACTGAGCTTTTTGGTGTCCCTTGCATTGTGTTCGAGGCAGTGCTTCACATGCCTCACCCTAGCGCTGGCCCTGCTTCCAAAGGGTCAGTGGTTCTCAGATACGGGGATTTTACAGCTAATACATTTTAAAAGGAACAACAACAACAACAAAAAGTTAGAGGGACCAACACAGGGCTGCTAACATTTTATTTTACCAATTAAAGATATTTATAGGGGTGCCTAGATGGCTCAGTCGGTTGAGCATCTGACTCTTGGTTTTGGCTCAGGTCATGATCCCAGAGTTGTGGGAATGAGTGCCATGTTGGGCTCTGTGCTGAGTGTGGAGCCTGCTTGGGATTCTCTCTCTCTTCCCTCTGTCCCTCTTCCCTGCTCACACACACTCTATCTCTAAAAAAAACAAAAAAAGGAATAATTATACATTTTATCTACTATCATCATCTCATTGAAATAGGAAGGAGCTCACAGTAAAGAAGTAAGGTAGGAGCGCCTGGGTGGCTCAGTCACTTGAGTGGCTGACTTGATTGTGGTTTAGGTCATGATCTCACAGTTTGTGGGACTGAGCCCAACGGCTCTCTGCTGACACCTGGGAGCCTGCTTGGGATTTTCTCTCTCTCCCTCTCTCTCTACCCCTCCCCCACTCCCTCTATCTCTCTCTCTCTCTCACACACAATAAGTAAACAGTAAAAAAAAAAAAAAAGTAAGGTAGACAGAATAAAAGACACATCTTTACATCAAATATGTGTAGGTTTTTGAAAAGCCCACAATATTGTTCTTATTTTTTAGTAAAAGCTTTGCTAAGGATCAGCATCTCTCTGGGAGGAGCCCTATTTTCCACTGAGTGAGCTGACCTCAGGAGGACTCTGGCAGATTCAGGACCTAGGACTCTGTGATTCTGCTTTGACCATAAACACACTGAGAAATTGTTCAGGGAGGCTTTGAAATGGAGATGTACTGAAGGCTTGGATTTTACATGCAACATGGGTCACTGTGTACTTCCATGGGGCCCTGTTTCTTCCTCCACGAAGTCACATGAATTCTGAGCCTTATTTTGAGAATACTTGCTTCCTATCCACCTTGTTTAAGTTTGTTTGTTTGTTTGTTTGTTTGTTTATTTATTTATTTATTAGGAGTTGGGGGGGGTCAGTTGGGTAGGAAGAGAAGGCGAGAGAATCCCAAGCAGGCTGTCAGTACAGAAACCAATGTGGGGCTCAATCCCACGAACTGTGAAATTATGACCTGAGCTGAAATCAAGAGTTGGCTACTTAATGGACAACCGACTGAGCCCCCCAGGTGTTTTTTAAGAAGAGACTATGGCCTGATTATTAGAAAGGTTTTCTGTTTTTCAAGAGTGCCCGCTTGGCTTGTGGGAAGAGGAGGAGGAAGGAAAAGCCACCCTCCATGGCATCCGTGCCCTCCCCCATCCCTTCCTCACTCTCACCCCCAATGCAGTCCCAGATGGAATGGAGAGCCGGTTGGTCCTATGGAAACAGTTTGTACCTGCACTACAAACACATGCCATCGGGGACTGGCCCCAGGGTTTATTTAGCAGCAAAAGTCCTTGGCTTCTCTGCTAGAATCACAACAAGCAGCCAAGGGGCAGGAGGCCTGGTGAGGCAGGGCTGAGGAATGTGCCCTTCCCTCTTCCTGCCCTAATGGGGCAGCTGCGCTGGGGGACTCACTGGTGCTTTCATGGTGGGGCAAGCCACCTCTCACACTTCCTCTGGCTCCCAGTGAACTGGATTTGACCCTTCAGATCACCCTTTTCCGGGGAGCAGACTTGCGGTGACTTTATAGTACCTTGATTTGAAAGGAGATGTATGTAAATGGGATGTAAATGAGGAAATCCAATGGGTCAGCCCCTTTAGGACACTCCCGACCACTGCCCTGGGCTCAGCCAGGAAATTCCAGTCCATCCCAGCTCAGAGTGGTTTCATCATAAATTCTATCAGGAGCCTGGAGGTGAGAGCTGGGTGCCCCAGCCTCTCCAGCAGAGACCAGGTCAGGCCCCTAATGCGGGGAATCCTGCCCTCTCCTTCCAAAATGCGCACCCTTGGGGATTCCTCAGCACCCACTGTGTGCCGCCCAGCTGCCCTCTGCACGGCTCCCACGCCGGTCACAGGCCTCACTTGGAGGGAAACTGGGGAGCCAGAGAGATGGTAACTTAACCAGCAAGTTCAGGAAAAACTAGGTTCCGGATCTGACTGTCACCAGCCAAGTCAACGTAACCTTTTCTGACCTTGTTTTTTAGGGGCGAAGGCACTCCCCTCTACCTGCCAGGTCATGCTCCGGGTGCCCGGCCGCCCCTGCCGCCCCTAGAACCTGCCCCACGGCTACCTGCTCTCCCAGCCAAACCCCTGCCACGCTTAGACCAGGGCTCCCGTTCGGCACCTTCCCCTGCTCTCCCATCAGGACTCCTTTTCCAACATGTTCACCCTCACTCTGCCCTGACACCCTAGCCGCTGACCTCTCCCCTTGTCTTCATCCAGGATTGCTCCTCGCTCCCTCCTAGGGTGCTCCCCCCACACTGGGGCCCTAGTTGGCTTGGAGCGGCTGTGTGTCTGATCTTGAGGAGGTGTTCCAGCCCTTTAAAAAGAACCTAATGAAAACCAGGCAGGGCGGGGGAGGGGAGCTGATTAATCATGGGTTTCCTCCAAATAGCCAGGAATGAGTGGGGCTGGGGCTTGTTGCTGCGTAGCCCTGAGAGCTCAGACGTTGCCTTAAAAGGAGAAGGAGCCCAGCGTCCTCCCAGGGCTGGGATTTCTGTTGAGCGAGCTCCTCAGCACATAGCAGAGCTGCCTCCTTCTCGCTTATCTGAAAGGGAGTCCAAGCCAACTTCTTTTGCTTCGAGAACCGGTGGTACATCCTAGTGACCCCCGGAGGTTATTTTTGCTTGTCCTCCAGTCTCTAGGCCCCACTCCACTGTTCATCCCTTGTAGCAAGAGGGGTTAGGTTAGATATAACAAAGAACTTCCATAAAGCAAAGGTCCACAGGCTTCTAGATAAGAACCGTAAGCCTTAAGCGGCAAAAGTTGTCCTTCCCTTTGGGAAAAGCTTTAGGGTTAGGGGAAGCCCTCAGGGGTGCTTTGGGAATCCATCATAGAGGCAGAGGAATGGAGATGATGGCCTCTGAAGGCCTCTAACAACCTGTGAAATGATGCCGAGGCCTAGCAATCAGGCTTGGAGGTAAAAAGCAGCTCCTTGCCCCCATCTGCTCCAGGCCTCAGATATCACTTCCTCTAGAAGTCTTGTCCAATTCAACAGAGAGAGAACATTTTACCGCTTTCATTGCCCAAGGGGGAGAGAAGAATTGTCTGTCCAGAAGTCCCTGGAAAATGAGAACTTGCTGAGAGAAGACCAAGCCCCCTGTATGTGCTGCACTCAGCCCTCAGCCCACGGTTGCCTAATATCTCATGTAGCCCACCACCAAGGTCACCTCCTTCCTATGACCCGAGGCCTCTGCAAGGGACAGAGTCTGCAGCCCTCCCCAGAGGACAGCACCAAGGTGAATAGAACCCTTCTATTCGAAAATTTCTATTGTAACAGGACATGGAAGGTGTGGGTTTGTCGAGTTCACTGCAGCCACTTGCGTAGCAGGTGGCAGAGCCCAGTGACTGGTAATGGCTGTGCCCTTCACCTGGGATCCCACTGCCATGGGTTCGAGTGCATTTGTTCCATCCCCAAAGTAAGTCCGAGGTGATGTCAATTGAGATGGTTCAAGGCCAGTCTTTTGCTAGGTTCCCCCAGGGCTGCCTGGTGAGACAGACAGCCATTAGACTTTCTGCCTAGAGGCCTCGACAGGCACCAGCTCAATCTCCAGGCTAACTCTGCTTTCAGTAGACTGTCTCCCAAGCCTTAGCTGAAGTCCTGAGGGCACGGACAGCCTCAGGACTCAAGCTCATTAGGAGCCCACATTTTTAGCTTGGCTCCAGACCACAGCCTGCTTCTTGTTTCTTGTGCATCAGGTTATATTTAGTAGGAAAGCATCGGGGAACTCTACGGCGTCCCATAGTCCTCCCAGTGCTCTGACCCCGCACCACGTCTCCTTCCTAGTCCTGCACCAATCCTCTCCACCAGCCCCCAGCACGTCTCAGAGCCCAAGATCACGTTTCCCTGCTTCTCCCATGAAGCTGGTCCAGCAGAGAGCTGGAGCCCTGGCCCTACTCATTCCAGCCACCTGGAGACCCGCTAC